CTGCACGGTCGATACCTCGTGCTGACTAAGGTAACAAACCAGCGCCCATAGGCTTGGGTGGGAACCGCCCATAAGCGGGGCAGTTGCCCCCCGGCTTATGGGCGGTTTCCCCCCGGTTCATGGGCGGTTTCCCCCTCCGGCTTATGAGCGGTCCTCCCAAGCCTATGGGCGCTGGTTTGTTACCTTAGTCAGCACGAGGTATCGACCGTGCAGGGGATCTCTACACAAATCCGGCTGTGTAGGCCACAATAATTTACAAAGTATACAGAGAAGCTCAAAATGCACGGTACTTATCTACCAAGGAAAAGGGAATCAAATGTGTTTATTGCTTCGCAACCACCTATAACGGGGAGAGTTTAACGCGTCACCCCTCCACAGCTACGCCACTTACTAGTGTTTTCTCGCCATCGCCGGGCCAACGGCAACAAGCTCTGTTAGCGCGGTGTACAGAATAACAGGATGAGAGCGTTAAGTGTACAGAATAAGGCGAGAGAGAGGTGGTGGTGTACAGAATAAGGAGAGTTGAGGCATGGTGTACAGAATAAGCAGGTTTTCCGGTGTACAGAATAACAAAAGTTGGTGTACAGAATAATACCCCCCATGCGTCGAGGCTTTCCCATCACGTGTTATCACGTGATGGCCAACCTGGGATGGATGGGCATTCTCTACCGCTACGTACCACCTTCCCAGCACCTACACATATGACGACAAGAGAAGTTGCTTGCAACAACGGATGCGTCTTGTTGTTCTGTCATTACAAAACACGCTGGCCGTGAAGAATAGAAGAGGTGAGATCAAACAGAACAAGAGGTTAGACAAAGGCGGGAACCGAGAAAGGTTTCCCCCTTAGAGGGTATATCGGCCGACCCGGCTTCTAATCAAAGCGAACTGTCCTTTATTCGATTTCAGAGCCTCACCACACCGTCATCGTCTTTGGTCCTTTCCGATATCAAAAAGGAAAAACATTTATACTAAGCATGTCAATACCAATATCGGCACTACTTACTAATAGTGGTCCCCTTGCCTCTCGAGATCGATGGTAAGCCAACCGACACTCTCTTCAGGCGCCGATACCTGACCAACATTAGGAAGTATCTTGACAATGTCCTGTCAACCACATCACCATATGCCGGAGAAGAATTTGTACCAGGTGAAGAGACGATCAACGCTCTCGAGTCTTCCCGAGTCTTGGTGATCGGCGCCGGTGGATTAGGTTGCGAGATCCTAAAAAATCTGGCACTATCTGGGTTCAAAGACATCCATGTCATTGACATGGACACGATCGATGTCTCGAATCTGAACCGACAATTTCTCTTCCGCCAGGCCGACGTGGGTAAATCAAAAGCTGAGGTCGCCGCCGCGTTCGTCGAACGACGAGTTCCCGGGGTCAAGATCACGCCTTACAATGGCAAGATCCAGGACAAGGACGAGGATTACTACATGCAGTTCAAGCTCGTGATATGCGGCCTGGACAGCATCGAAGCCAGACGCTGGATCAATGCCACTCTGGTCGACATGGTCGACATGGAAAACCCAGAGTCTCTAAAACCGCTCATCGACGGTGGCACGGAAGGGTTCAAAGGTCAAGCTCGTGTGATTCTACCATCTCTCACCTCCTGCATCGAATGCCAACTGTCTATGCACGCGCCACGGCCTGCCGTACCATTATGTACCCTTGCCACCATCCCGCGACAACCACAGCATTGCATCGAATGGGCCCATACCATCGCTTGGGAAGAACAACGGAAAGGCGAAACCCTCGACACCGACGACCCGGAACACATCATGTGGCTTTACACGATGGCACTGGCACGAGCAAAGGAATTCAATATTCCCGGCGTCACGTACGCGATGACGCAGGGTGTGGTCAAGAACATCATCCCAGCCATCGCGTCGACCAATGCCATCATGGCCGCCGCCTGCTGCAACGAAGCCCTCAAGATCGTCACCTCCTGCGCCCCCTTTCTGGAAAATTACATGATGTACACCGGTGACTCGAACGAGTCGGGCCTGTACACATACACCTTCGCCGCGGAGAAAAAGGATGACTGCCCTGTCTGCGGCAACCTGGCGCAAAATATCACTATCGACCCAGAGATCACACTGGTAGAATTCTTAGCAAGCCTCGCAGAGAGAGCGGAAGCACAGTTGAAGAAGCCAAGTATAAGGACGGAGGCGAAGACGTTGTATGTTCAGGCGCCGAAGAGTCTGGAGGAGCAGACGCGGCCGAATCTGATGAAGAAAATGAAGGAACTGGTCGGTGATGGGGAGGAAGTGGGTGTTTCGGATTCTGCGTTCCAGATCTCGTTCAAGTTCCGGCTGGTGTTTAAGCAGTAGGAGTGGGGGATACATTCGGTCAAGGGCCTGCCGAAGCTGGTGTCGTGGAAGGACGGCTGTAATTGACGATGACGAACGGCAGACTAAAACTCCGGTCCATAAACAGATCATGGACAGGCCGAAGAGAATAGAACCGAAGCCACTCTAAACCACCACGATTTTGATTTGGCACTCCGAGGCACCTAGCAGTGACAGAGAGCCCGTAAGCGCCTTGGGATGCTTTGAAACGCCGTCCCTTTCCATGTAAGCATCTGATTTCCATCGTGAGCCAGCTAAAAAAAACCGGCCAAGTCGTTGCGCTAGGATCACTTATTTTTCCATCTCATCTAGAGCCCGAAGCAGCCTCATGGCCTTGAACTTCAACACATTAACGCTCTCCAAGAACAGCATGTCACTAGGAAACTGGCCTGTACTCTCGACGTTGAAGATGAAGTGATCCTGCACTCGTCCCAGCTTGACTTTGTCCTTGAATTCGTCGTGTCGGAGACATTCTCGCGACACGGTATCTCGCATGGGATCTTTCACGACAGCTTTCTCGTCACCTTCACGGCCGTGGTAGGCGGAATTGCCGGACGAGGCGTCCGATGGCGTCACGCGTTCAAGATCAATAACGCCTGGTGGGAAGCATTTTTGAAATTTCCTCGCGTCGGCGCCAAGGATGGGCTGGGTGATAGTGATGGTGGGGAGGAGTCGGTATGTTGCGGTTGCGACAGGGCTGAATTTGGCATGATCACTTCCTTTCCCCAGATGTGCATGCATGATCATGTCGAGCTCTTGACCGGGTCGTAATTTTGCGATCAGGATGTCGGGACTGACAGGCTCTATCGGTCCATCGGCGAAACGAGCTTTCTGTTGACCTTGGACGATCCATTTGATGTGCCGTGAATAGACGCTGCTATTGATGTACTTTTCCTCTGGCTCGGTGGCCTTCTTGTCGGCGTCGGGGTTTCGTTCGCACTTGACCTTCAACTCTAAGACGACGGTGTTATAGTCGGTTCGCTGATTGCCGTCAAGACCGAGTTCGGGGTTGGGTTCGATGAACCACTTTAGCCATTTTAGACCCTCAATACTGCCTTTCAAAGGGATGAGACCTAGCCGGTGAGCGAGGACTTCGTCTGCGATGACAGAGGTGTTATTTTGGACGTAGACCATTTCGATGGCTAAGGTCGGGATTTCGGCGAGGAGAATGCGGCGGAAGGCATTCGCGAGGGAGGCGTCGACGCCGACGAGAGAGAAGGTAGCTTCATCTTTTTGGTTCTGGTGAAAGATGACTTTCAGGAGCTTCCTGAACTTGGGGAGAGACCATGAATGGTCTTCACCAGCATGATGGCCGGGGAAGTCGGTCGAGGTGATATTAGTGACGGTTTCGGAGCCAATGCCAACGATCTGGAAAATTGCTCAGCAAACTGAGAAATCTCAACTAGTGCCATTACTCACCTTCCGCCTATCCAGGTTGTTCGGCGAGGGCAGGACGGGAGCCATGAATAGATTTACAGACCAAAGAGAGACGCAAAATTAAAGGTTGAACTCAGGCACTCGGGCTCTCTCCAAAAATTTTGGCGGGGAGAAAATGTCCGCGCTCATCAGCCAATCACGGCGAAGGGGATAAAGCTGCACTAAGCACGAAAGCTGTCGGTTGATCTCATGGACTTCACAGGGTGTGTGGTTCAAAACGCACACTTTCATCGTCATTTGCAGCCATTGATGCTGTCGACCTCGAGGCATCAGCTCGAATAGAATTACCGTCAGCTTTTCTCCTGGCCTTAGGCCGACATTGACGATGGCCGCATCGTTCGTTCGAGCTGCAGGTCGTCACTCCGCCAAACGACTTTGCCTGCGACCGAGCTTCCAAACCGCCTCAAGACCGCCGCCTCTTCTCTCCCGTGCCATTTCCACCGGCCCCAGGCAAAATCCTAACCCTGAGGCTCCCGGCGGTCCTCTCAGCACGACTCTAAGCCCGACTGATTCCACATTTAGCGGACATGCCAGCGAGTCCCCCGACACGAACTTGGGCGATCATTATGAAACCAAAAAGATTCGCCATTATACCGTCAATTTTGGACCCCAGCATCCTGCTGCACATGGTGTGCTGCGGCTCATTCTCGAGCTTAATGGAGAAGAAATTATCCGAGCTGATCCTCACGTCGGATTGCTCCATCGAGGCACGGAAAAACTGATCGAATACAAGACATATCTGCAAGCGCTGCCGTACTTTGATCGATTCGACTACGTCTCGATGATGACCAACGAGCAATGTTTTTCCCTCGCAGTCGAGAAGCTTCTGAACATTGAAATCCCTGAGAGAGCGAAATATATCCGGACGATGTTTGGAGAAATCACTCGAATTCTGAACCATTTGATGTCGGTTCTTTCACACGCTATGGATGTTGGTGCTTTGACTCCTTTCTTGTGGGGATTTGAAGAACGAGAAAAACTTATGGTATGAGGGGCGCCGTTGTTTCAAGTTCATTTATTAAATGATGACAGGAATTCTACGAACGTGTGTCCGGTGCTCGACTCCATGCTGGATACGTTCGCCCCGGTGGTGTCAAAGCAGACCTTCCGCTCGGCTTGTTGGACGATATCTATGCGTGGGCCACTCAGTTTGGAGACCGTATCGATGAAACCGAGGAGCTTCTTACCGATAACCGGATCTGGATCGGGAGAACCAAGGGTATTGGCGTCGTTTCGGCCGCAGATGCTCTAAACTATTCATTCTCCGGTGTCATGTTACGAGGATCGGGTGTTCCTTGGGATATCCGGAAGAGTCAGCCATACGATGCATACGACAAGGTCGAGTTTGACGTCCCAGTGGGCCAGAATGGCGATTGCTACGACCGATATCTGTGCCGTATGGAGGAATTCAGACAGTCTCTGCGAATCATTCACCAATGCTTGAACCAAATGCCTCCTGGCCCCGTCAAGGTGGAAGATTACAAAATTGCTCCTCCTCCTCGGGCCGCTATGAAGGAGAATATGGAAGCACTCATCCATCATTTCTTGCTCTTCACCAAGGGATACACGGTCCCTCCGGGTGATACTTACAGCGCCATTGAAGCGCCCAAGGGAGAAATGGGTGTCTACCTCGTGAGCGACGGCAGTGAACGTCCATATCGATGCAAAGTCCGAGCCCCAGGTTTCGCACACTTGAGTTGTTTTGATCAGATCAGCCGCGGCCACCTTCTAGCTGACGCGGTAGCCATCATTGGTACGATGGATCTCGTGTTTGGTGAAGTCGATCGGTAAAAGGATTCAAGGAGAAGGAAGAAGAGGCCTCAAGGCTGTGAGCCACCACTGGCACGGCCTGAAGATGATCAGAAAAGGGAAAATAGGGGTGGTAGCTGGGCATCCTGTGTACATATGTCATACTCTGCTAGAGGCATGCAAGCGGATCCTTCTGTGTCCAAGACGAAACTTCGAGTTTTTTGTACGGCAACCCTTCGGATATTAACAAAAAAGAGAGAGAGAGAGAGAGAATCATACCTAGAAGGACCGCGGGAGGAAGATCAGCTCCTGTAAGACCGCGATTGAGGGAACTCGTCATAGGGGAATAGCTTGGTATCGATGATATTCCTCGTTCGCAGCCCCTGCTCCTTGGTGTTTTCTGCCAAATCCCAAATCCTCATGCCTGCTCCGCCACAAAATTGGCCCCCATTTCTCAAGCGAACAGGAGCTGGGCAAGCTCCATTTACTCCCTTTCCACCAGCCGTTACAGTTAACAAAATCAGATATTGCCCGGATTTTATCAGCCCATTCTTGTCCTTTTAACTACTGCCTTTCTGTCTTGAAGTCTCGTGTCCGTCTACTTCTCAGTTGTCAGTCCGCGAACACTACCCCGCAGTCGCAAGATACTACCAAGAGCGGCCGCGCTGATTGAATTAGGAGCAGGACAACAATCGCGGCTCCTCGAGTTCTACATTCTTCGAATCCAACCCTTTTCTTTTGTCCCTCTCAGTGGTCGGGGCGGCTTGTCGAAGAGTTGGAAACATCTGAAGGAGGACACACTCAGGCTGTGCCTGACCCTCGCAATCATGAGTTCTCGTGAGTGATCCCCTGTTTTTCTATGGAGGATTGATCTTCTATCGCCTTTGCGGCAGACAGATCGCATGTCTCTGGAACCTAATCAGAGGCTGTTTGTCCTGCTGTTCTCTGGCGGTGAGACTATCTGGGTTGAACTTTTCCTCGACTGCCGCCACACGGGAGACCTCCGACCGGGCTCAAATGCTAACGTTTGAATTATAGTTAGTGGCATGCTGAACAAGCTGCAAGGCCAACCTGATAGCTACGATAAGAAGGCCCAGTATCGATTTGGAAAAACACTAGGAGCGGGTACATATGGTATCGTCAGAGAGGCTGATTTCAATGGAGAAAAATGCGCGGTCAAGATCATCCTCAAAAAGAGCGTTAAGGGCAATGAGCAAATGGTCTACGATGAATTGAAGATGCTTCAGACACTCAGTCATCCTCATATTGTCAAGTTCCAAGACTGGTTCGAATCGAGGGTGAGATTGGGCTTGAGTGCTGGAAGAATCTGGGCTTGGGCTGACTTTGATAACAGGACAAATTCTACATTGTGACTCAACTTGCTACTGGAGGCGAACTTTTCGACAGAATTTGTGACAAGGGCAAGTTCACGGAGAGGGATGCCTCACAAACAATCAAGCAGGTCCTGGAGGCCGTTGATTATCTTCACGGTAAAAATATCGTTCACCGAGGTGAAAAGACCCATGCGTTCTCTCGAGGTTCGACCGAACTAATTAATCGCAGACCTCAAACCAGAAAACCTTCTCTATCTCACCAAAGACCCGGATTCCGAACTGGTTCTTGCTGATTTTGGTATTGCCAAAACTCTCGACAGCCCCGGCGCAGTCTTAACATCCATGGCGGGGTCATTTGGCTATGCTGCTCCCGAAGTCATGTTGAAGCAGGGTCATGGTAAAGCGGTTGACATGTGGTCTTTGGGAGTCATCACATACACCCTTCTCTGCGGCTATTCTCCTTTCCGATCCGAAAATTTGGCCGACCTGGTGGATGAATGCAAGAGTGGTCGCATCATCTTCCATGAAAGGTACTGGAAAGATGTCAGCAAGGACGCCAAAGAGTTCATTCTTTGCCTATTACAACCAGATCCCAAACGACGAGCTACCAGTCAAGAAGCCCTCCAGCATATCTGGTTGACCGGTGAGACCGCATCAGACCACGATCTCATTCCAGAAATCAGATCCTACTTGGCGAAGATGAAGCTGAAGCGGGGTATCGAGTTGGTCAAGCTGGCGAATCGAATCGATGCTCTAAAAATGCAAGAAGACGAGGATCCAGACTCTCCCGACGCAAACGATATACCTGCCAATGCACAGAACGCCGCTGGATTGGCTGTCAAGAACCATGTTCGAGGGGTGTCTCCAGGCCGTGGGCTTTCGACAAGTGAATCCCACGAAAAGAAATCATTGAGCAAAGCAGCGAAAAGTGCCATTTTCAGAGAAGTGGTCCTGGCAAAGGTGAGGGAAATGAAGGACAAGGAGAAAACAGACAGGCTGGTAGCCGAGGCCGCAAAGGAACATGAAAGAAGAAAGAGCTTCTCGGGACAAAAATGAGACGGTGGAACGATAGGAAATGTTCGAAGTCGAATGAACCGGCCCCTATGGACGGGGAGCAAGGTCACGACGGCCCAGCGAGCCAAAAGGATATGATATTATTTACCACACGCAACAATCGATACCCTGATTGACGACGATGGTCTTCGGGTTTGTGCTGCAACACGTTGATGATGACATTAGCTTTTGCCAAGGGTTCCTTGACTCATCCAATAGCCTTAGCGGAAAATCGCATCGGTAGTGTTTTGCCAAATTCATCATGGATTCAAATAAGCAGATCGAAGCGCGTATTGGCCTTCCCCACCACGGTGTCCGCTTGACCATTCACTCTGAGGTGTACAGTACGCAGCGCTCCTATCAGTGATGAAATTCTCCGTCGGATTCAATTCAACCGACTGCCAAACCCACAGCACCAGCCTCTTTTGCGTGGATCATTCTCCGTGCAAAACGTATAATAAAGCTTCAACTCACAGAGCACCCCTGAAAAGTAGTCGTTTGAAATTGAGGGAAAGGTCAACATTTGCATTGAAATAGCCCGAGCCGCTCCCTTTTATTCCCAATTGGTTCTTTCATACTTACAGCAAAGCCGTTTGCCAGCCTCGGTTCACTCGTATTGCCTTTGGGAAAGGACCCTCCGAGACATATATCATGGACCCGTTCTTCACGAACAGGGTATACGCTGTCGCTGGTGGAGCGTCAGGCATCGGCTTGGCTACGTCAAAGGCTCTCCTTCGCTACGGTGCAAGAGTCTCTATCGGCGACATCCGCATCCCAGACAGCCTACTGGCTGAACTGGCTTCGGGGATCTCAGACTTGAGAAAAGCCGAAGACATTATTTTCCTCAAGACTGTCGACGTTCGCTCTCGACACGACGTGGACAGCTGGATTGAGGAAACGGTGACCAAATTTTCCTATCTTGACGGCGCGGCGAATCTTGCGGGTACAATTCCCAAGGATCACAACATCGGATCAATCGAGACGGTGAGTGATGAGGACTGGGACCTGGTGTTTGGCGTCAATGTCTACGGCGTCATGAATTGTCTTAGGGCGCAGATGAAGTATATCGGCAAATTTCCTGGCAGGACAGGCGGTAGTGTGGTGAACGCAGGGAGTGGGCTGAGTTTGGCAGGCAGAGAGCGAACGCATACCTACACGGCAACGAAGCATGCGGTGCTTGGGTTGACGAGGTGTGTGGCGAGAGAAGTGGGTGAAAGAGGAGTCAGGGTTAATTGTATCGCGCCGTAAGTGGCTAACTTTACCCTTTTCTCTTGCTCTCAGGTATATTTGTGTGTAGAAGCGACATCAGCAAAGATCCAGGAGACATGTTTGCTAACCGTTTCGTTTCCCTTAAAATAGAGGCTTCACCGAGACCCCGTTGATGAAGCAGTCGCAGTCGATAGAGGGTTCCGCGTCCAAGGAGGATTTCTCGACTACGGCGCTAGGGAGAATGGCGCAGCCTTCTGAGATTGCGGATACGATTGTCTATTTGCTCAGTGATAAGGCTACGTTTGTGACGGGCGCTGTGATTTGTGCGGATGGAGGTTGGAATTGCTAGGGAAGGGGGAATTTTAGCAAAAGGGACAAGGTGGATATGAAATAGAGTAATCGAATAGTTGAGGTGCATTGACAAGCAACGAGACCATATTTTTGAAATTCGGGGGGCCCCCCAACAAGATGTTGTCGTGGAAGGAACTGCCGAGATTCAGCCGAGAACCGAATTGACCGACGACCAAATTTCCTCCCGATTTCAAACCATTTTACGAAGAGTCATTCTCTCTTTCACGTTTGGGCGTGGGAGGGAGGGCAATGTTCTGCTAGCATGATCGCACTGCGCGCCATTTGGCGTGCCTCTCAGGCCTTCGCGGCCTCGAAGACATTCAGCGTCACTCCCCGACATTACTCCTCCGTCCCTCCACCGGCGCAGGAAGAAACCAAGAGCGCCCTGTCCCCCCGATGGCTCTCCGATACCAAATCTCGGATCGGGAAATGCATTACCTTTGGCATGTCCGAGAGTCTGGTCAACGAAGCTGCCCAGATCCTCCAGATCCTCGGTCGAGATTGGCGGGAACTGGTCGCTGGCAGCGAAGGCTACTTGACCGACCCGAAAAGAGCAGGTTTACATCGACAGAACGTCGTCTGGGGAGAACAAGACTCCATGGGCCACGTCAATAACGTCATGTATGTCCGATTCGCCGAGAGCGGGCGCTGCAATTGGATCCGTAACTACAGCAATCGTTTCGACCCCGTCCACAAGCGGGCATGGGAAGAGCTGTTGTCGTCCCGCAGCATTGGACTCATTCTCAGGAGTATCACAGTCGATTTCAAGTTCCCTATGACTTGGCCCGATCGGATCTCGGTGTACCACAAGCTGCGGTCCCGTCCGGACGAGTCCACTGAGTCCTTGATTCTTGATGTTTTGATCATGTCTGAGGTCCGCCAAAGGCCGGCGGCTAGGTGCCTGGAAGATGTCGTGGTGTACGATTATCGAGTGGGCAAGAAGAGTACGCTGGAACCTTTCATGTTGGAGCAGCTCAAGAAGACGTTTGATCTGCAAGAGGTGGCAAAGAGAGAGAATTGCACAGCGGTCCGGCAGATAGAAAGGCGAGTAAGGAATTTAGAGAAACAGTCGTGGGATAGACCGGATGCAAAGGAAGACTTGGGGAGTGCCCAGGCCCAATCGAGTTCCTGAGTTATGTGATTTGAAGGACAAGTGCCGGCGAGGAACGCCAGGAAACCTCGACAAACCTGAGAAGATATTTAAATACCCAAGTCCGATCAAACTTCGTCCAAGTTGATACGTTCAGCAGTTGAGTGAGCGCTGTCATCAAGAGCTTCCGTATGGGAAATTGTGACGAATATATGGGAACAATATGAGAGATCGGAAGCAGAGGTGAAAGGGAATGTCCATGAGAATTTGGGAAACGAATGACCGCTGAGTTATGTGAGTACAACGCAAGATATTGACAACTCGGCTTCCCCCAACCTAATCTTTCTTTAACCTTTGCTGGCGCATATTCTAAAGCCCTGACAATGCCTAGTATGAGTGTAATACTGCAGAGGTTCTCCCATAGTTGGATTCTTGCCGCCACATTCGAGATCACTACCAAAGGAGCTTGATCATTTACCGACTCAGTCAGAAACCTCTTCATATTCATGCAACAGACTTTCGCCGGCCGAAGACCTTCTTCAACCTGCTACCAGTGTTTTTGGTCTCTATTTTTGGCGCAGGTTCCGGTGCCGGAGTGGACTTGCCCTCGACGACGGTGCTCAGCGTTGCCGCAACAGATCTTCTCGGCTTCTTGGATCCCAACTTGTCCAAGTAATCGTCCACGGTCTTGTTGCCGTAAAATCCGTTCAATTGTTCTCCGCTCTCATAGTACAGTTTCTCGTAGGCAAACTCCCGTAGAGCCTCAAGGTAGGCTTCTCGAGATGGAAAACCTCGGTGGCTCTGATCAGCGACGAGAGTATCGATAGAGGCAGCGGAGAAGACACTCGGAGGTCGAGAAGGAGGGGGCAGGATAGAGCGAACTTCAGATGTCCGATTGAAAGCCGACATGTTGATTGGATTGAAGTTGGTAGTTGAATCTGATCGTTGAGGATTTGGGGAGTCGACGTGAAATGACATGGGTAGCACTTTGCAGGGCGTCATCGGTCATGGATAACGTCGGGTGGTACCACGCACACCCGGTAGCCCATATTGCCCGTGGCAAATAAGCACTTATGTATGACCCGCCGGCATACCTTATCCTTGCTTGTCGAAGAATGTGTGGCCGGAGGACACGGCTTATCGACTAAAGAGCGCTAGCTGCGGGCTCTAGTTCTTATAATTGGAAAGCGAAAGAGAACCCGAATAGGCGCCCGAACTCTTTACCACTGGTTCGGTTTGGAGACAGGAATGGACCCGCTCAAAGCCTGCAGGACCAATTTTGGCTCTATGTTCGAATAGTGGTCAGGGTGCGCAACTTCGATTCCAGGTGGCATTCTTTTGTCCGCTTCGCCAAACAGGAAATCATCGGGCTTCTCCTCTCTCGATCATTGATGGCTCCGAGATTGGTTCCTTAATACCATTCTTGCATAATGACACAGTGAAGCAAATGACACAAAACGATCAGGGAAGCAAAAGACACCGTCTCCGATCATCACTCCGAGTCTGGAGGGGACTGTGCTTATTTAACTGTTGCCTTCCTTCGACGGCAGTCTGCGGGTGGTTCAGTATTTGCGTTAAGTTTACAGCCCGCGATCCTCGAAAGTCTGCTATCACTGGGATAGCAACGAGAAAGAGAGGCGAGTATAGCCCGCCGGAAAGTTGGGCCTCTTTGCCGTATCGGCGACGAGCAGAGCCACACTCATATCTGTTCGAACCAATTCAATCGTCGTCTTACTCTCGCCCTCATTCTCGCTCCTAATTCTCTCTGCTCGCTTCTAAGACTGTCGACACTGAATGCTGGACACTGGACACTGGACACTGGATATTGGACACCGTCGGTCTCGCAGTCTCATCCTCCTCCTTCTCCCCTGACCTGCTCACCAACCTGCCGGGCTTTCGTAAGTGCACAGCTATTGGGAATGATCCTGGCAGGTCGCTGATATGACACAGAAATAGATGTTAACCGATTAGCCGGGTTGCACTCAGCAACGTCGAGGACTCAGCTGCGCAAGGATATGAGCCTCGTAAAAAAAACCCTTTTCACAGTTGATAGATACCTATATGATGAGTGCATTTGGCACAGCCAAATGCACCAGGACAGAGTCGACAATCCATTCATTTGATTAGGCCAACAATAGATAAGGGCGTAGCTCGCCAGAGAAGCAGAGCTTTTCCGAGTAATTTATTTTCGTCTTACTCTACGGCGTCCTTGTCCTCGCCTTCGCTCTCGTTCACACCTCCTTCTCATATTTCCGGGGTGTCGGTCTGGACTAGGCTGCCTTCTTGGGCCTTTTCGCAGCTATTCGTCACCCCTCTCCGTCCAGGAGAAGCTGCAGGTCGGAGTTCGCGACCGGTACAAAGTTGAGAGCGTTCCCGAATGGAAGAAGGGGATAGGGAGGCTATACTACAAGCACTTGCCAAAGCGGATGGGGCGCGTCAATTGAGACCTGTTGTCGAAGTTGCAGAACTTACTGTGATACAAGGCAGGAGGTGGCAAACAGTTTTCCCGTATACGAAGATATAAAAAAAAAGGAGAAAAAAGAAATGCCTCCAACAAGAATTGAACTTGTGATCTTCGCATTGAAGCATGAAGAAGGGAATTCTTCCAGTGGTACAAGTGCGACGCTGCACAGAATCAGCCTGAACTTTTGAAAAAGGTACAGTTGAACGCTCACCGTTACCACTGCGCCATAGAGGCCAATTTTGAGTATAGTCTTCGGAATTAAAATATTAACTGCACATTTTCCTTGGCCGAGCTTGGCAGTATTGTTCAGTCGGCGTTACTTCGGTAACCCGACGCGGTCTTTAGCAGTCCACGAGTCACGTGCCTGTACAATAGTACTCGACGACGGGAGTTAAGAGGCAAGTATAACCAATTCTTGAGGAGCCTGATTAGGCTTTCCTCTATGGGTCAGGGAGCGCTCATTGAGGCTCACCGAAGGCTCACCTTAGCCCCAGGTTAAAGCGGCCTTTGCTCCCCACCTAGGATCAAACCGTATATGGCAATTAGGTTTTTCGTTCGCGAGTAATCCAGGTATCAAGGGTAATTTTCGTCGGTGGGGTTGACGCACGTGACTATCGGTCTGCGGTTCTGTGACTATAGGTGGCCCACGTGACCCTTTTGACGGTCTGCCAAGGTTTGTAATGACCAGGGGTCTTCGAAACACGCTAGTAACCCTCAGATACTATATAGTCAGACGGTCCCTCGGACCTCTTCAAATGCCAACTAAGTCCTCCGTGAAATCACAGTTCCAGGCACCAGAGGCCCAAAGTCTGCGCGTTGGTAAATGGCTAAATAGTCCCTGGAGCAACATTAGACCGAATCACGTGCCGATTACTCCGCCGACGAAAATTCCCCTTAATACCACAGTAGTGATGAAAGAGCAAGAATGCGGACACAGCGGGGCACTGCCCTCCAATAAATGCGAGTTGAGTGCTAATCGAAACGCCAATGGAATGCCAACCCTTCGCCAATGCAACGCGTTCTAGGCAGGCACGTGGAAGGAGCCAAGGACTGGCTGAGGGGCAGGAGAAGGTACTTTGATCTCGACGACCTCTGCCACTGACTTTCCACTACCTACATGAGTACTTTGACAAGACACAGCAAGTTTCACTCTGTACATTTCAACGACAGTTTCCCTCAACCCACTTGAAGGAAAGCATGCCAGTATCGACGTCGACATTCGGGCGACTCTTCCGGCATGTCCTTCAACTCCGGCTCGGCCTCCTCTTTGTCCCAGGCAACATATTTGACCACGTATTCCGCCAATCTCTCCTTTCCTCTCCTGGCGGCCGATTGAACCAGCATACCCCTAGATCTGATTTGAAAGGGTCGTCGGCGTCGGTGTTGACTTTAATCAGAAGCACAATGCCACAATACGATGGACAAGCGGTCGCAGTGAAGGCATTTGGCGATATTGGCAACGCGAATTCGCGCCATGGGTTGAAGATGTTACCGTCGGGGAGTGCTTATCGAGGCTCTTGCCTGTCCCTTCCCGGTATCGGGCTTAGTACGCTTCAGGTCTCCGAATAGTGTTGCGTCCCAGTGAGTAGTCTCGTTGACTCGTGTGATCATCCTTCGAAGCGATTCGTCGGCAATCTCATCCGTGTTGTTGAAGTCGACTTCCTCCGAGGTCGGGGCCTTGCAGTGCAGAGGGCTTGGTGGATATTTCCCTAACTGTGCGCGTGCGATAATAATGGTATCGCGGCATTCGTACTCTGCAATTGCGTAGGCAACAATTTTAGCCAGAGAAGCATTAGCGTCGGACGCAGAGGTGAAAGAGGCGGACGTCGACGTCGAGTTTGAGTCTGAATTTGGATCCTCACGCTCAGGATCAAGAACATTGTCGAGTCTCTCTGCCAAATCACTAATATTGGTACTGTTCCTGTTGCTCTTAGCGATCTATCGATCTCGGGAGAAAGTGAGGCCGAGGCCCTCCTTGGGTTTGTAGACGCGACGTACTCAGGACTGACAAAGTCAGCAAAGATGTGACATCTGCTGACTTGGATCGATGCAGTCGGTCTCTTTTGCTCTGCAGATGTTTTATGGTGATTAGTGAATGAGATTCAAGACGTGGAACGCGAGGGCAGTGGTGTTTGTCTCCGAGAGCGAAGTGAAAGATGTTCGTTGCGCTATAGGTGCAGTATACGCGGTTCTAAAATGGGACCTGCTGCGCTGTCCGCAGAGAAGACGCTCTTCTGAAACCATTAAAACGCTGGAGTTTGCCAATGGAGGCGGAGATCCTTACCAAACTGATCAAGTTTGCGGAGGAACATGGCGCATGCCAGACGAACACGAAAACAGAGAGACGGTAAACTGGAGAGGCACAGGAGAGCCGTAGACGTTTGAAAGTTGCGCCAGATGTCTTTGCTGTTCGTGAGATTCTCTCAAACTAGGTCGAATTTTTCCTGTTGTCGTCGTAGATGGTAGGTAGCATAAACATAAGCATATCCAATCCGTCCGTTTCTATACGTTCAAATGGCCTCAAGCCAAAGCCAAACCAAAACGCCGAAGAGGAAAACATTCTAATCCTCAGCTTGATGACTGCGCTTGATGCTGCCGAATCTCTTCTTCAATCCACCGCTCAGCCTTTTACTGATACTTCCACTTCGATTCATTTGACCTTCGCCATCGTCCCAGCCCTCAGAAGGGATGGCACCACTGCTGCTTCGGGTTCGGCTTTTCATTTCGATACCATTACCGTTGGTCTCGACCTTTTCGTCACGGATGCTGTGGTCCTTGAAGGCCTTTTCGATGCTATAGCTAGGCTCACCTTTGCCTTTGACATCGTTGGGGTGATATTGGACGCCAGGCCAGCGCTTATAAGCACCACCTTCAGGTCCGCTTTCGATCATCATGTTATCGCCTTCCTCATAGCAGTAAACATTGCCATTACGATCTTGATTCCCCGGTGCATAGGCCGCTACTCCGTCAAGAGGTCGATGGCCAATCACACTGTCCATAATCTTTTCTTTCGGAGTGGCTTTGAGAGCTTCCGCGTTGGAGCCGGCCAGAGCTGCTAGAGGTGAGTTGGAGGAATTGTTTCGAGCAAACAATGTGGCGTCATAGGGTCCTCCGTGATGCCAGGCCGTACCTCCGCTATGATCCAGCTTATCAATCGTATCGGGTTGAATGTGATGCTTCCGGGTAGAATGACGAGATCGGTCTGCAACAGCTTTCTCTTTGGTCAATGTATCCAGTGGGCGATGTGACATATCGCCCGGATAGCGTTCGGATAAAGAGCTGCCTCTCCGACGGGGTCCTGCCGGTCTACCTTCCCCAAATGCCTCTTGCCTGTGGCTGGGAGAACATGGCGATTGTGGAGAGTACTTCGCCGTGGGTGAAGTGGCAGAAGGTGGAGGTGAGGGGTATGGGACACCATTGCTGCTGCCATTACCGTTCAGCGATGCGCTACGCTTGACCTCGGTGGTGGTTGTGTTCGAGATCGAGCTCTTTCGGTAGGTATTCGTCTTTGAAAGTCTTCTCCCGGGAAGAATCTTTGGAGGAGCCTTGACCGGAGCGACAGTGACGCCCGGCCGGAAGGTATTGCCTGGGCCATCTTCCTGAGAAGGCTCGGGTTCGTTCAGAGGATCAAGAAGGTATTTTGAAGCCTAAGGTCGCAGCTATCAGCCTTGCACGCGGCTAATTCATCTGCAAACAGGCACGTACCCATTCTTTGTCGCTTGAGGACTCCATCGTTCAAAAATCTGGTATGATGAGAAGGCCGCGGGGAATGAATTTCGGGTGGTCAAGAGGCCGTCATGAGATTCGAGAGAATAGGAAGAGGGGCAAAGATGTGATTTGAGCAGGTCACGGAAAAAGCAAGAAAATAATACCCTCCACATGCACAGTGGAAATACGAGATGACTTTGATCTGTGGATAAGGAAGACAACAATCGTCGGAGGATGTATGGCGGGCTGGTTGCTCATTAGGCTGGCCGTTGGGCTGGGTGTTTAGCAGCAACAGGGATTCCGGGATGGGGGGAATGTCATGGTGGATGTGCAAGTGGATTTGGTGAAGGTTCTCCCCAAGGAACTATCCTCAACTCATCCATGGCGCAGATGGTGGAGGTCCAGCGCAGGCAAAGGCCATCGGGAGCAACCAACGTCATTCGGCCAAGCACTTCGTAGCACATTCTTCCCATTCCTTTCTCAAGACACTCTCTTCACCACCTTTTACATATCAGCCCTCCTATCAGCCCATTGTTCCGCTTATCCCGGTCTCTGATTTGCCTCTGATTTTGTGCTTCGGGCTGGAGACAAAGCCCAGGATCGGAGCGGTGGACCAGACGAGCACATATTCCAAGGGACCAAACTGAGACATTGTCCTCGTCATCATTTTCCCGTCTTTCTCCCGTGTCCAACTCAAATATTGGACCCATGCTAACGTGCCCCAGGGGCCCTTTCTATCTCCGATCGTCAATTGTCTCCAAGGATCTCAACCTGCTCTACGCGTCCGTCCCCCGATCTACAGTCAAGGGCATCTCCGGCCACCCGAACTGTGACATTCGCCTTGGCAGGCACCAAAGCCTTGTTCAACTGAACTCGATCATGCTAGTCGACTATTCTGACTCGAATTCTGACAGCGGTGAGCCAGCCAAAGATGACCAACAGAACAATCGTAAACGAAAGGCTGAGGACGGTGAACCGACACGGCTCAAGTCCAAGCAACCTCCGCCATTACCGACTGCATTTCACTCATTGTATGCAACCAATGTACGGACCTCTGCTTCGGACGACCCCATTTTGCATGCAGGTCGAACGCGTCAGGTTCCCCATGTGGTAGGTAATTGGCCAACCCACGTTTATCTCGAATGGTATCCTTCGAAGACCGAACTTGCCACACTCGACGATGTGATCCAAAATACAAGCCAGGTGTTTGATACCAGCAGCCATTCATTGGCCGATTCCCTGCACAGCTGTCTGCGCTCAGATCCCGGGGCACTGTTGCCGCTTCACATCAGTCTCTCGGCTCCGCTTGTTTTGAGGACGGAGCAAAGGGAATTGTTCCACCAAAGCCTCGGCCAGAGGTTGGTCCGGAGCCATGTGAAGCCGTTTACTGTTCACATTACCGGCCTTGACTGGGTTGCGAATCACGACGAGACGAGATACTTTCTAGTATTGAAACTGAGCAGGCCCGAAAATAATGACCTTAACAAACTCTTGTCATTATGCAATGAGACCGCTCAGGAATTCGAGCTCGCACAGCTTTATAATGACGAGAGCATCAAATCACGGCAGCAAATGGTCGATAAAACGGATGCGTTCCACATCAGTATCGCATGGACTCTGCAAGAGCCTGATAAGCAAGCTCGAGGACGCGTAATCGACCAGGAACAAGATCCATTACGGGCTCTCAAGGTGAGCTTCTCTCTTCTCAAGCTGAAAATTGGCAATACCGTGGCCGATATTCCCCTGGCGAAAGGTCCAAAAGGTTTGAGGTGAGAGAAGTTGATGAAGTTGTGCTCGTATCCTCGCTTGCGACGAATATACCAGTGCAAGTCCAAGACCACATCCCTCAATCCCGTTGATGAAACAGGACCCGCCGTGGCCTATTCATGCACAACTACGCATATGTATCACCATCCATGTCTTCCTGCCTCTCACCACACAATGGTAAAGGGAGTCACGTCGGCTTCTGATGTCTTTAGTTGTCTCCTACTCCATCGTGTACAGCTCTCTCGGCAAGCCCCCAATCTCGCGGAATTGAATGGGTTCCAGGAAACGTTCTCTCCGCACTAGATAGATGGGAGGACGAGCAGTGCCCGGTTTGGATTTGCACTGAATATCGCCTGGGCTGGCGAAAGCTCGATCGTGTGCAACCCTCGATGATCGAACCTGAGACTGAGGGCCTGGAGAAGGGGGTGCAAGAACTTCAGGTCGTATCCTCAGCCACAATTGGAAGAGTCCGTCGAGTTTCCATGGTGTTTGATGCCCACTGGCGGACTCTTGTTGGTTTTGACAGATGAAATAGTTCCACCACAGCCCGTAACTCCTAGCTCTTCAACATTTTATTCCGCTTTTCTCTTCGCTTTCTTCTTTCCACCAATTTGCTGTGCATCTTCTCTGCCATTTTCTCATACCGCTCTTTCTCTTCTTTTGCCTTCCTGCGATCTTTGATGGTTTGAACTCTCTGATTTCGCTCTTGATCTTTCTCATCTCGCATCTCCTGTTCTCTAGCCTTGGTTGCTTGCGTGATTTGGTCCAGCTCTTTCCGTTTGGCGTAAGAAGTCCGTCCGGCCATGGGGCGGAATGGTTTCTTCGGGGTATGCCAGTTCTTGCCTGTTGAGAGTCAATTCAGAGTGAGAGTAGATCGTGAGGAGTGAGAGATCCTATACCATTTACCCTCATCCCATGCTTTTGTGCTGGTTGAGGTAAGGATTTTGGGGTGGCAGATGCCTTGGACTGGGACGTGCCTTCAGCGTTTGAAGACTGGGTCACCGACATGTTTGTGGTTCTTCCTTCAATTGCTTCTTGTAAGTCAAAAATATCCAGGTGAACGATGCTGAAATCTGCAGCAAAATGGTGGGCTAAGCAAAATTACTTTATCGTTATCTTAGCGCAGATCGGGTCGAGCAAGACCGCGCGGTCAGTCACAGTGACAGTCACCGCAGTCTTGTCATCGGCCTCCCTCCCCTTCAATTGTTAAACCCCTCCACTACCTAAGGGGAGGGGGAAAAAAAAAAAAGGGTCGCGACATCGGTGCAGTTTTGTGTCTCCCAAGCATTCTAGCATGTGTTGGCGGGTCTTCATGAACCATCCACCTCCTTCGATGTTTAGAATGGGATCCTTAACTCTTTAGCTTTCGTCTCCTTCCGAGATCTTCACTCGTCGACGTGCAGAGGAGACAGCTGCGTACAGAATCCTGACCGCTACGACACCGCTCTTCGGAAAGGCCTTGCTCTTCTCTCAGAGGTGTGCCTCGTACACGTCACAACATGTTACTACGATAGCACACCTCCTATATCTATCTAGCCGAATTCAAACCCTCAGCCGTCAATTGCCTTCTGTATGGCGTCCTTCAAGGATGAGCTGCCGACCGTCAGTGGCCTCGAGAAGGTCCATAAGCCATCTAAACCACAACCAGAACTCCTTACCCCTCCGAGCCAAAGCCTGGAAGCATTGAAGGATATCATCTTTGGGTCAACAGCAGGAATGTTGGGAAAATTCGTGGAATACCCTTTCGACACAGTCAAAGTTCGGCTACAATCCCAATCCCACGAACCTGGCGCTCAACGACTTCGAGGACCACTAGATGCCTTCTCCGCGGCCTTTCGATCCCCAGAGGGACCTCTTGTCTCTCTCTACCGAGGACTCAGTGCTCCGTTGGTAGGAGCGGCAATTGAAACCTCCTCGTTGTTCTTCAGCTACCGAATTGCCCAGGACATAGTCGTGGCGGCGACACCCTCTCTGACTGCCCAGCGAAACCCGAACAACGACAAAGTCGAGCTCCCTATCCCCGCCCTCGTCGGCTGCGGCGCCGCCTCGGGAGCCTTCACATCTCTTCTCCTCACACCCATCGAGCTGATAAAATGCAAAATGCAAGTCTCCAGAACCCCATCCCATTTGGCCTCTGAACTGGGATGCACCAACACCAGCCCTCCAGGTCCAATCGAATTAATCCGCACTGTCTTCCGTGCCCAAGGACTCCTAGGCTTCTGGCGCGGCCAACTAGGCACTCTGATTCGCGAGACCGGCGGCTCAGCGGCCTGGTTCGGCTCCTATGAAGGCGTCAAGGTACTCTTCCTCAAAACCGACCCATCTCTTTCCCAAATCGCAGACGTAAAAGTCTGGCAGCAAATGTTCGCCGGTGCTGCAGCGGGCATGTCCTATAACTTCGTCTTCTACCCGGCCGACACGATCAAATCGCGCATGCAGACCAGCGCCACCGAAGCTGCGGGCATCAAGAAATCGAGTTTCCTGTCCACGGGACATGAATTGTGGCGTGAACAAGGTCTCAAGGGCTTTTATCGCGGCTGTGGTATCACCGTCGTCAGAAGTGCGCCGAGCTCCGCCATCATCTTTAGCATTTACGAAGCGTTGAGGAGGTATTTTGGCTGAAAGCATTTACATGGACGGAAAAGAAACATGGAATCGAGGATTGCATCCTAACCTCAATCATGGACTACACAGATAAAAAAGCCTTTCCACAAAAGTTTTCGAAACAGAGAAATGCTCTCGTGAGAATTCTAAAAAAGCAAAATAGTATCTTCATGTCACGGCAATGGATGGAAATGGACCGCGGAGCACGAAAGAGCATCATCCACATCACTCACCATTAGCATCATGATGGGCCGATGAATATGGAATACGATTCAGCATCGACCTTCAATAATTATTATAATTTTTTTTGGTGTGTGTGGGGGTGAGATTTGAATGGGATGCATTGGGGGTCTTTGGAGCGTGGGCAGTGTATGCTCGATATAGACTGGGACGAAAACAATCAGGGACAGACATAGGGATCAATACATTTGACATCAATTCATCTCTCTAGACTCCATCGTAGCTGATGATGATGACAGTCAACTTTCACTCGATCATTCCCAAAACCGATATCCCAGGACGCTCGAAGAAACATATGTAATCCATGAATATGAAGCCTACTTATATACACTCAGCTGTTCATCCTTTCGCCATATTTTCAAGCTCTCAGGCCTTGTGGCTCATCGCCTGCCATTTATCCCTCTTTCTCATGCATTCTCCTGGTTCGCTTCTCGAACTTTGATTTTTCCTCCTCGGATCTACGAAAAAGGTGTTGACTTTTCACCATGACAACGAAAAGAACCGAACAAATAAAACAGTATGGCTGGCCTTTCAGTCTCCCGGAACTCCTTCTCTCTTCTTTTCCAGTCATTTATCCGAGTCTGAGTCCGGATCCATATCTAGATGCGGACAATATAGCCCACTGCCACTGCCTGACCCTCTCCAGACCTCCCCGCTGTTGCTCCTCAACTGGCAATCTCAGGTTATTCATCTGCTGCGTCAACTTCGAGACCCGATTGATCCTCGTCTGGCGCTGTTGATGCCATGCGTTGAGAGCCGATTTCAGTTCTAGAGCATGCTGCTGACCTGTTTCGTCTTGATCTTGGTCTTGATCGGCTGTTTCCTGACTCGGACCTCGTGGATTATGTATTTGCTTGAATATACATGCTAACACGGCTGCTAGGGTCCAGCCATCCTCAAACGCCTGGTTTGTGCCCTGTCCGCTCGTCGGGGGCATGGCGTGTGCTACATCCCCAATCAGCACCACACGTCCGGTATCGGAGGTCCAGCCTGGGAGAGGCGGTAGCGTATGCAATGGGCAAATGTAAGTGCTCTCTCATCAATGATGTGATCCACTGCTTGTTGGACCACGGGTTGGCGGTCATCGTAGCCTTCGCGGAGGAAGGAAACGTGGAAGGCCCGATCTTGGGACAGACGCCCCCACTCGTCACAGTTGTGCGGCGGGTATGCATGTTGTGTCGCCGCGAGGAGCTCGCTCCCATCCGGGATCTGAGGCCCGAGGATGAAGGCACCATTCTTGCCTGCGAACATAGTAGGAGTGGAGATTTTGTCTTCGTCTGATGAGACTGCAAGGGAAGACTCTTTCACAGCGCCGGCTACGACGAGAATACCATTATATTGAGGCTCGACCAGTGGGAAGAGTGATTGGCGAATCTTGCTGTAGATCCCGTCTGCGACGATGACGAGACTAGCGTGAGTTTTGGTGCCATCTTTGAATCCAAATTGGACGCCATGCTCATTTTCAGCAAATATCACGGAGAACTTTTCGTTGTATAGGATCTCGATTCCTCGATCCTTGCAAGCTGTTTGGAGCTCTTCGAGTAGAGCATTACGATATATCCTCAGAGCGTCGTAGCCAAACGTCTGCCGTGACCCAAGGAAGAAACCAGCTGTCGCCGTACCCTGCTGATCTTTGATAGCGACGAGGTCAAAATTAAACCCCTATCCTCTGATCCGGGTGTATATGCCATACTCATCAAGGATGCAAAGGCTGTTGACGCGGCTTACTCGTAGATTCTGCATGGGATTGAATGAGCATTCAAAGCCAATGCCATTCCCCGGCCGGCAAGGCCGGCGCCAATGATAGCGACGTCGATTGTGGAAGACATTGTGACTTCCAGCTGGCCCAGGAAAGACGATCATATGTCGGATAAGTAGAGAAGCTTTCTCGGAAGCATGAGGACATTCTAGCCCACGGATTCGAGGGGTGCTCAACCTTGCCTGGACATTTCGCTCGCTAAGCTATATCCACAAAAGCAACATCGAGCTTAAACAAATGCTGAGGATTCCTATGCTTTCTTCAATCCGTTGAATTCCTTTTATGCGATGTAGACGGACAACTCATGCTGACGTCCTGTTCGGGAATTTGATTCCCAAGTGTGGGGCTTACCTCTCAGCTGTAAACTCAGCATACACAGCTGATTCCACTTTCTTGAAAAGCTGGCTTTCTCAGACCGGCGGTCTGTCCCTTCGTTTGCATTGGTAGTGTCCTGATCGAAACGCTATCTTTGGTAGCAATCTCGAGGACGGCTGCTGCAGGGTACGCCAAGTGTGGCTATGGGTCATTATTAAACCCTCATGTGGTGTCGTTGGGAAACAAATCCTGGGAAGTGAGTGGTTCAAATAGATCGAAATCGGGGAAATCTGCCCAGGATGGATCGAACCCAACTCCTCTCGAGGAAGATGTATGCGCTGCAGATTCTGGGCTTCCGGGCAAATTCCCAGGGCCCGGAGCTACAATTATGGGCACATGATCTTGCTCCAACTGATCTTGACAGCCACGGACAAGTCCTTCCAGTGCTTTCAAAATCGGTCCTTCCTTGTTCTCTCCAAGGTGTTCAGACAAGAGAGAGGTCAGTATAACTTCGAAATAGAAAATGTCCTTTAACTTGGCCCCGGGATGTGCTATGCGCCGTCTCATGGGTTCCAATGTGTCCTTGACAGCCTGGATCATACTCCCCGTAGTATATGCTGGGATTTTGAACATGTCGTTTTGCGTCACATTTGGAGGAACCGCCGCATCTGAGCCGAGATTGTCTGTTCGAGTTTTGGAATTGAGTCTCTTTATTTCGAGGCAGAGGCCCAGTATGGCCTGACCAATTTCATGTCTGTAAACATTGTAGAAGAAATCCCAGTACCCTTCGGGACGAGGTACGTTGATTTCAGAGTAGCGAGGATCAAATAAGTCCTGGAAAGTAGTCAACATGAGACAGCTTTGTAGGAAGCCGGCCGTAACTTCTTGCCGGACATCAGGGGCGGAGGCAAAGTAGGAATACAGATGCAATAGAGGTCGTCGGATGCTGATATCCAATTCCATACGAGCCATCAAACGTGGAGGGGTCTTGCTCGCTTGGTCACCCGAATAACTGAACCGCAAGGGAGGAGGAAGATCTTGTAGCACTTTCTCCAGATATCGAGTGTGAAGAAGAACATCATCCACTTTGACACGGCCAGGCGTGTCCATTTGTTTGCAAGCAGCAAGTCGACGTGGGAAAGATTGAGTGAGAACATATTGACAAAGGCTATCGGTCCATTCCTCCATAGGTCGCGACTGAGGCAGAACTTCGATTCCATCGAAGATTTCCTCGTCGTTGATATTTCGCGGTGGTTTGGCGGTGTATGGCGGCACCATACAAGGCAACTTGCATAGAATCGAGAGCATGAGGTCACACTCCACAATTGTCATCCAATTGCGCCTGCGGAGCTCTCCTTCAAATATGGTTATACCATCAAGGGTGGAGGGATCTTGGTCCATTTTCATGACTAAGGCATCGCGAAGCAGTGTCCCATTGAGCCGGAACAAATCATCCATTGGATCTAGAACCATCCATTTGCACATCATTATAAGCATCTTCACTTGCAATGCTGGCAGGAGATATCTTTGTCGCGGTCGCAGTTCTTGAAGAAAATCATTCATGAACTTGAGAGCACTAGGGTGCTGAACGATAGTGTAAGAGGTGGCTGCTTCACATTCTTGGTGCGTGCCAAGTGTGGAGGCAATGGACAGGACACCCACCAGTTGTGGTATGAAACCAAACCTACAGGCACGCTCCCCAACACCGTCAGTAAAAAGAAGTTTCAGTTGCTCGCTAAACTCAGGCCAGTGCAAAATGCGGAAGCAATGCTCCATGTTGTCAAAGTAGAGAATGGCCAATGTTTCGCAAACCTGAAATGGTGGTAGGTCTAGAGGGCGACGCTTAATCGACAAAGCTGGTAGGGGCAGAAGTCGGCGTCTGTGGTTGTGCGTCTCAATCATATAATGAAGGTTCTTGATTTGGGCTCGAAGATTGACGATGTCGGGATTATCAGATTCAATCTGCAGCTTCGTCATGAAGGAACACGCATCCTTGAACTGTTGACGTTAATTGTCTGGATTTAAAACGAAAAGAAAAGACAAGACGAATATTCCCGATTGGACTTACTTGGGAACTGATTTGATCGAACTTGCTTGGGGTTTCAGCCTCGTCCGTGTGATTTCTAGCATGGTCCAGTGGAGTATAATCTGCAGACGTCTCCGCATCCCACTGAGCATCCTTAGCGAAGAGAGCATTCTCCAGCATCATGACTCTATGCTGGAGGTCTTCAACGACTCCCCGTTTGGCAGGAGACGGGGATCCTCTGAGAGGCTCCCTGCGGTCGAGAAAGCCTCCATCCGCATTTTCAGCATTGGGGGAGTTCAGTCGCCGTCGTTTTCTCAACGTTCCGCGCGAGTACGTCGTGCTGGGTTCGGGTTCTTGTCCAGGCTGAAAGTGACATCTTCCGGGCCGGCCAACCTTGACACACTGTTGACATGGGTGAGTGCGGTCGCATTTCAACTTCTTCCTCCTACACTCCAGACATGATATCACCGGGCGCGGGCGCCTAGTCGCGGATTGGGGATCTTGATCGGGCTGTCGGACATGGGAAGACTCAGGGAGGGCAGACTCATCGTGATGCATAGCCCGTTGAGCAATTCAGGATTGATCTGGATCCGAGTTCTTGCGACCGAGACAGACGGCGAAGATGGAGGTAGATAGGCATAGATTGGGACAATATAAGGACGGAGGAAGATGTCCGGAAGAGAAGGTGTGATTCTTGGGGAGGATGTGCCGCCGCGCACCCAATCAGCATCGGGCCTCGGCTGTCCAAGTTAACAACATGATGCCTTGGATCCCATGCAGACCTTGCCGGCATTTCGATGCGGAGCCCATCCCAAACATCGTCCCTCGCGAAAAGATTGCCGGGTGGTTGCCATAGACAGATCTCTGCACATAATCCCTTCGATAAACGCCAATCCACGATGGACCCAAAACTAAAGCGCGTCATCGAGCTCATAGAGTCAAAGAAGAAGCCATCGCATCCTTGGAAGCGGCAGGAACGCTATGATCAGCCTTACTATTCTTTCTGGGCCCAACATGTTGAATGGAAGGAGACTTTGCCTTCGAAAAGCAGCTCGGCATCCCCCATCGTTCCGAGATTCTTGATTCTATCCTGGAACATTGATTTCATGTTTCCATACACGGAGGAGCGCATGATTGCCGCTCTTAAACATCTGGAGTCGCACGTCAATGCCAGTTCAGTTCCGGCCATCATCATGCTTCAGGAGATGCTAGAATCCGACCTGACCCTAATCAAGGGCCAGCCATGGGTTCGTACCAACTACAATCTGACCGACATCGATGCCAAATATTGGGAGTCCGGACACTACGGCACCTGTACATTGATTCCCAAAGCGTTACCCATCACCTCCGTCTTCCGAGTTCACTATGAACAGACTGCCATGGAGCGAGACGGTCTGTTTGTCGACCTCGATTTCGGCAACAGTCAGATCGTCCGGATCTGCAATACTCACCTTGAGTCGTTGGTTGCCGACCCGCCCATACGACCACATCAGCTCGCAACATCTGCAACCCACATGCATGACCCAGAGGTCAGCGGCAGCGTGCTCGGTGGAGACTTGAACGCGATTCAGCCCTTCGACAAGACACTTCATTCGGACAACAATCTCCATGACGCCTATCTGACCCTAGGTGGAAAGGAGGATAGTGATGACGGGTATACGTGGGGCCAGATGGCGCCAGTCAAACTCAGAAAGATGTTTGGGTGCAGTCGAATGGACAAGTTGTTCTTCTGCGGACATCTCAAATGCGAAAAGTTCGAGAGGTTTGGTCTTGGGGTCCAAGTCGAGGATGAGCATGTCCGGGAAGACTTGATCAAAGAAGAAGGCCTAGAGGCGGGATTCGTCACGGACCACTTGGGCGTCAGGGCCGAATTCAGCGTCCTCCCAGAGGGGGATGCCAGTTCAAAGATCTGACTTCGCCTAAGGTCCGTGCGATGACCTTGAGCTCATGTCTTGAGACCAGATCCCAAATCCGATTTCTCAATCACACCCTCCATGACGCTTCTTCCACTGACCACGCCCGTCGTACATATGACAATCTTCTTTCTCTGCCCAGATTCTGCCATTTTGCGTCCGATAAACCTCAGTGCTGCGACTTCAGTGAATGTGATCCCGCCCAGAAACATGATGAAAACTGTTTTCCACCCGCCTGTGCCGGTCAGAGCTGCTTTCGCTTTCGCTGCCTTCTCGTCGGTCGGTTTCTGGGCGATATTGAATGTGGGCCCTCGAGCTGACTTCAAAATATCCTCGAATCCAGTCCAGCCGGTGCTTGACGGCGTAAGGGGAAGAGGCGACCTGTGCAGGCTCTGAAGGTACTGTTTTTGGAGGATGCATTGCACAATTCGAACGCTCAGGGGTGCATAGCCGGAATAAACGTAGGCGATATCCTCTGGGTCTTGCTCATTGTATTCGTCGATGATTAGACGCAGTTCTTTGCGTAAATACGCATAGTTGGTCTTAGTCCCCCTTTCGGACTGACCTCCCCCTCCACTTACGGGAAGGAGCAGTGCTGAGGCCGATGAGCGAGGCTGAAGGAGTTCCATGGTCTCTAGCGCATCCAGAGTGAGGAGATGCTGGAAGCCGTACGCGTGAAGGATCTGGCGTCGGAACGAGTCAAGGTCTTTCGGTCGAAGGCCACCGGCAGCTGTGGATTCCAGGCACAGAAGGCGTAGAATGGTGCTCAACGGTGCATCGCGGGCGATGAGCTCCTCGATTGTATCATGTTGGTATACAGGGTCCGTTCCAGCGGCGATGTTTTGTTGAACCTCCAATTCACGATTGAAAGTATCAGAGCGGGTATGCTTGGTCATATCATCGGCAAGGTTGGTGTGGACAGCAAGGGATTGGTGTTCTTGTTGGAAGGCAGGCAGCTTGTTCACAAATTCTCGGAGATCATTGATCCCACGAGCGTTGTGACGGCCTTCGTAGTCTGATTCGAGTCGCCGAGCGATCTTGTTCAGTTGTGGACCGATGAGCGCAAAGTTGGAAGAGCGAAGTTGTTCGTATAGGGGATCTGATGAATCAAGCTGAATTCTGCGCTTGAGCCCTTGTCTAATTGCGGTGGCCGGAGACATCGACGATGAACCGGTCTGTGATCGCTGTTGAGGAGCAGGACCGATGATGGCGGAATCAATTTCTGCACGATTTTGTTTGATGCCAACCAGCTCATCAATGAGACCTTCATACGTCAACTGTGTGAGAAGAACGGTAACAAAATCGACGTCGCGGTCTATGATGATCAGTTGCTCAATCGACGTGCTGGGCATACTCGTGTATTGTGTGGCAGCTTCATCAGCGTCAAGCTCTCTGCGGCCGCGGAGAAGAAGGTTCGCAAGCTTTCTTGCATTGTCGCCTTTTCCCAAAATCCGTGGAAATAGGCCATACCGCTGCTGGATCTGCATAAGAGCCTTCGAAGCAAGAAAAAGGGGTGACGGGTCATGCCTCTGCGGGCTAGTTAGATGAAGCCACAGATCATCAAGGAATATTTCCCACGGATCATACCAAGTACAAATCGTTGAACGCCCCGTCCATCTCTAGGGACAGCATGTCATCCTCCAGCGGGAGGAAGAATACTGGCAGCTCTGAAACGTTAACATCGCCCAAAACACCTTGGTCTTCGAGAATTTTATTCGAGACAAGGGTCCTACGAGGAACCCAGCAAATGGAGATTTCGTGTTCAACGGAACCATTTCTCCGAAGTTTCTTGATTTGCTCTGAGACCAGGAATGTCAGCATTTGTTAATATGGTCATCACATATATGAATGTGAAGGACCCTTGTAGTAGAGCAATGCTGGGATTGAATTTTGTATAGCGCTCGATGTTGGCGGCGGGGAGCAAACGAATGAATCCACCCAGTCTCCTTGTAAATCCCGTAGGGTGTATGATACGGGGTTGAACGTCTTACCTGCTACAGCTTGGACCAAGCTCGGCTTTTCGCCATGAACCAGGTACACGATATTCCTCTGGGAAGAGTCGGTGTTGCCATTTTCGAGCTCGAATACCTTGTCGACACCATATTCTTTGAGTGTCGGAAACTGGACGAACAGACTCAACAGCCCAGTCAAGTCTTTTCCAATCACCAGATTCTTCTTGCCTCGAACCTATTCGGCATGTCAATATACTGCAGTCCAAGTGTTGCAGTAAACTTCTCTCGGCTTACCCCTTCGAGTAATGCAAGGAGCTCTGTTCTTGCTTTCTTTCGGAGGTGCTCCGCTTCTTTGTCTATGTTAGGGCCCATCAGCCCTGATTTGGTGTTTGGGTCTTATTTGCAATCCATGAGAGGTTGATATAACGTGGCAGCCTAGAATTTGATTCATCAACTTTCAAGTTTTCCTGACCGAATTGAGCTGCAGACAAACGGAACAAATCTGCCAAGACACAGGGCGCATTTGGTCAGAGACAACATGGTACCTACGGGGCCAACTTGAACTCAGCCACGTCCCATCGTCTTCGTGTTTCAGCTGGAGGATCGTATATCAACCTCGATTCATTACCGCCCTGACAAGTCCTCTCTTTCTTTCCCGGAGAATTCTGGTTCTCAGGTCTTTCGCTCTACATTTCTATTTCTTTGTCTCTTTCCACAACCTTGTCAAAATGGGCAAATTCAACCTCAAGAGAGGCGACGACGAAGACGACTCCAGCAAACTCGCGCTATTCGGCTCCCGGTCCAAATCCAAGTCTCCTGCTCCTCCCTCCAATAATCCATATGCACAGCCGGCTATTCCCCCAGACCCATACACAAAAGCCAAAATGAATGCTGGAATCATGCCTCCACCAGACCAGAGAGGTCCTCCGGGCTCAGACCCACGGGGTGGTTATCGCCCTGGACCGGGGCCTCAGAGCAATTTCAGCGGTCTGCCCGGACCGGGACAGCAGCGCCCATCCTATGGCAGAGACAACTCGTACAGCGGAGGAGGAGCACCCAGCAAGTTTGGACAAGACAACAAATATGGCCCTTCCCAGGGTGGTTATGGCAGCAGTGGCAGCGGATACGGCGCCGATAAATTTGGGAATCAAAACGGCTATGGAGGGGGTGGAATGGGTGGAAATCCTTACGCCAGCATCCAACAAACCAGTGGAACATCCCGACAAGGAGGTTACGGTGGCTTAGGTCCTACCAGTGCCTATGACAATGATACCAATCGCGATGAACTATTCGGTGGAGCCCGAGAACGTATAGAACAAAGGCAACAAAATGCGCCTCCTGACTACCAGGACAGTACTGCCAATGATGGTCCTGATCGAAGTTATGGAACCTATGGCGACCGCCAGCTTACGGCTGAAGAGGAAGAAGAGGAGGACATCCAGGCGACTAAGCAAGAGATCAAGTTCATGAAACAACAAGACGTGGCATCCACAAGAAATGCTCTCCGAATCGCTTCTCAGGCAGAGGAGATGGGTCGCAATACTCTGGCCAGGTTAGGTGCGCAGGGCGAAAGAATGCATAACACCGATAGAAATCTGGACATTGGTAACAACCACATCAACATTGCAGAAGATAAAACAAAAGAACTCAAGACATTGAATCGGAGCATGTTTGCTGTTCATGTCAATAACCCTTTCACCGCGAAAGACAGGCGTGCACGTCGAGATGAGCAGATCATGGAACGACACCATGCTGAACGAGAAGCCCGCGAAGCAACTCGGGAGGCTGCTTTCAAGAGCACTCAGCGAATGAACCAAAATTTCAAGGGCTTGGATGATGCCTCGAGCGGACCTAGAACTAAGGCAAGCCTTGCTGAACGAGCCAAATACCAATTCGAGGCAGACAGTGAAGATGATGCAATGGAGGATGAAATCGATCGAAATCTTGACGAACTTACTGGTGCCGCCAAAAGGCTCAACCTGTTGGCGCGTGCCACTGGAGAGGAGGTCGAAGCACAAAATCAACTGATCCAAAACATTGCAGAAAAGGCGAGTTTCTTGAACAACATGTCTGTGTCGATATTGGCTAACTTTTTGCTACCAGAGCGACCGATTCGATGACCGACTGCATTTCCAAACCGAGAGACTCAAGAGAATACATTAAGGACGGGCATTCGGGTCTATGTCATCATTTTCGATCCACAGAGACAGGTTGCCATGGAGGCATCTCAAGTCGACTTTTTTTACTTTTCAGTCTCACCGCTTGTTGTGGGGTCGATCAGCAGAAGCCTTGTTGATCCGGATCATCAGATCAGCCTTGCCCCGCAACATTTTAACATTTGATGTACCTGAAGGTCAATGTCTATCTGCCGAAGAATAAATGCATTGGGTCGGCACGTGCGGGAGTTAACTTCGGAGCGAGGATGATCTCGCTGAATGAGACCGAACAGATGACATGGTGTCTGGACAGGAGTCTGGGACGTTTTGCGGACAATCTTGAGAACACCCACCTCCCTCGGCGCCCAGGGAGACCCGATATGACTGGGAAATAAACATGGAAGAAAAGAACTGCCGGAGAAATATTTCCGCGAGAATAATTGTTGACACGACTTTCGGAAAATGCGTACGTAGGCTTTCCACTCTGTATCTGGATTGCGTCTCTTTCGGAGGCCCTGTCACAACGCCATACTTGTGAATTTTGGACAATCTAGTGCTTTTTGCAAATTGCCTGCTAGCGGCTTCCCCCGGCACCATGCCTGCACTCATCGAAGTATGCTTCTCTCTCGGTCAAAACACGCAAGGCTCTCGTCTGTAAGCGGTTGAGGACAGCGGGTTATCGAATCGCAATTTCCCCCCCCACCCCATCTAATACTAGTGAACGACAAACTACGGACATTTGCAAGGACGCTTGACAAAGTAGCGGTTTACGGTAGCGTTCACTGCGTTGATGCTCCGTGGCTGACAACCTGCATCCATCGCCGGTGGTCAGTGCGCTCACGGTTCGGTTAGACTCTCGATTGCTGATGGAAATTGTCCTGCCGAAATTTGATCTCAAAAGTCCCCGGCGTTCTGGGGGGCAATGGAAAACACCAAATACACCCCCTTGAGACTCTTGGCGAACGCGCAATGAAGAACCGGGCAAGTTTCAATGGCGGCTTCCCGGATCCGCAATGATCGTCGGTTTGAAGCCGGGGGACACCCTTCCAACATGGAGAATTCCAGTCAAGAAGGGCTTGCCGGAGTTGATGTTGGCGTATCCAGCGCGAAAGCCGAGTGGCAAGCCAAATCTCACTATGCACTTGTGGCTTCGATCTTTGGGAAAAGAAAGTCGAGAAACCGGCAAGCCAAAGGGGTTACATTCGGCTGTTGCATCCCTCCAGGGAGGAAACAACTCTAAGAGGGCTATTACTCCTTTAGGCAGCGCTTCTGTGGAATAACCATCGGAGGGAGGACCAGGGGTGGGGGAGTGCGAGACGAAAGGAAAGGATTCTGAGGAGCAGGAGGGACGGGTCCCACGTTAAGGTTAGGGAAAGCCTTTCTTCTCAAGGCTTGGGGGTGAAAAAGCCGGACTGAATCTTTGGGACATACGACGTCTCAAAAGTCAAAATCGAAGCCAAAACAGCCGAAAGAAGATTGAAGGCAAGCATCCCTCCCGGCCAACCAACTCAAAAAGAAAACGCCATCAGATATACCTCTTTCTATCCCAAGCCCCAAAGGGAATTGAGTGGTTGACCCAGTGCGAGTTCTTCCTCAGTTTGGCGAACTGATTCTCCAAGCGTGGTAATCGAGTCGAAACTCTCAGCCTAACGACGCCTCACTGACTCTCCGCTAGGATTCACAATCTACCATCGTGTTCCTTTTCCGCCTATACCTCGAAGCCACTCGCTACGGGCATCTCATCCAAAGCGTCCCCGGTACGAAAACCTTGAACTAGCTTGAACGTCGGGCTGGGCACAGATAGAATACTTCACTCTACATATTGATCGTCCCTATCTCAAACCAATGAAGAAACGTTGCCTCACACCAAAATCTGCTGCATGACGTTTTACGTGCCTAGGGGCATGAAAAAGGGACCTGACGGTCCCAATGAGCTCTCAATCAGCATCTGGCAATCAGCCTTCAGGGCCTGGCAGGCGGGTCCCAACTGGTAGCAGGCAGGGCTTGCTTCCTCGAGGACCACAAAAACGCCACCCGTCGCGCTAATTGCACCACTGACCAGCCTCTATAAAAAATAACCTCCGAACGAGAGCTTTGGCTCCGTTTCAGATTCGTCCCACAAATCCTCGCCGAAGCCTTTGAATCCTTTGCAGCGGTCCCCTAAGGGTGGGGAAGAAGCGCTCGAACCTTTTGGGCATTACGCAGCAGGAGGCTGCTGGTGAAGAGAAGCAAAACAAATGACAAGTGGGAAAAGAGCTGCAAATGCTCCGGGCCCAAATCCGACGAAATTAGACAAATACAGAAAGATGAGAGCCCTGGTCTTGAAGACGTCACACAGATCAGAGAGAGCAGAGAAACCTTTTGTTGGACCCTGCGTCGAATGCTCATTACAACAGGCCGTAGGCATTGTCCTGGGGGTTCAGGAGGACTGCAGGGTCCTTGATGAGAGTTTCGTTAGAGCTAGGTCCGCCGTTGGTTGGGTCGACATTTCGGAGAAAAAGGAGGCTGAGCACACACAAGTTTCGAAGCACGAGTCCTGTGGTCAAAATGGCACACAAATGCAAATATCAGCCCCTAAGTTCGGTTTGGAACCAGGAAAGACCTGGCAGCATGATTCCTGCATGATACCAATCGGGGAATGACGCCTCCGGCGGTGACAAGTTCATTGACCGCATTTGAGGGCTTTCTGGGTGAGTTGCCCGCATCACTCTGAAGCCCCCGTTTGCAGGCAATCTCCCAGCTTTCAAAGGATGGATGACGCTGCAAAGCACTAATACAGGCACCAAATTCAAATCAGCTGGCAAGATCAGCATTGACAAGCTTCTTCACGTGAAAAATGCAGTTCTCTCCCCGGATGATAGGCAATTAAGCAATGGAGCGCAAATGGCGCTAGATCTTGCTTGCATCCCAACACTTCGGGCGTTGATGCGAGGCTCATGTCTTGAACTTTCTCAAGTTTACAGAGCTTCTGTTTACGTCCCAAATATGAGGTTGTGCATACTCGCTGGTTACACACGTCTGAGCGAGGTTAAGTGTCTCACCCCCGAAATTCGGCACAGATGCGTTTTGGATCTTTCTAGCAGCCCGGTCGTTTAACAATGGCTGTGGAGAATCTCTGCTAATAACGAATACGGGCTTTGTGCAGTCCGTATAAGTTAGGGTGTGACGGAGAGTGGTGAGGGAGGCTTGAGATGACAAGTAAGGAATAGTGGAACTGGATCTAACCTTCGCGGTGTGGAAGGAAGAGGCGTCCAGCGAGGGATCCCCGACAAGCCTGTGCGGAGGGCCGCTTAGGCCTGACAGGGCTCCATAAGAAGCACAGGCGGCGTCAGTGGCGTGGAAGGGAGCACGGGCACTGGGGGTCCAATTGCCCAAGCGTCCTTTAATGGTACGGGCCTGGCACTGGCACTGACTGCGATGACCGAGAGATCCCTGCAAGCGCCAAAATTGGAGAGGGGGCATGAAGCCCATTGGGCCAAAAAATGTAGTCATACAGAATCGAATGTCCAGCGGCTTCACGAAAACATTCGCTATGGAGGTGACCACCCGTTGGCTACACCGCCTGAACGTATAAGTTGGTCTTGCAATGGAACGAGGATCTTGTTCGCGGGGTTTTGCAGAAGTTGAGCACGATAGTATGCAACGCAAGACCTCTTCCTGCCGCACTGTCCAGTACTTAGTTCTCCATAACAGACAAGTTCTCCGTAGTAGTGCCTTTGTTCTGTACTGTTGGCTAGGGCTTCTCTCCCACTCCCCCACTGTTCTTACTCTGTAAATCCCCGGCTCGCCCTTTACGACTGTGTTCAGTGGTTCAATACACAGAGCGGGTTAGCAGTGGAAAATAATATCACATCTGTTAGTTTTGGCTGCTATACTCTTTTGGCAGGAGACCCCATTCCGGAGAGTGTCCATCAATCACCGCTCGGCTTGGCCACCAGCCTTTGTCAACTTGCACACCTCCCAGACAGTGACTTGAAGTGGGCAAAAAGTCAAGCCATGTCAAGTCAAAAGGCATCGAACAGCCAGCCAAGGCAGTCGACTCGGGCAACGGGGATGGCCGCAGTAGAGCGCCACCCGGCTCTTGGAGACCCTCGAGCCTAACAAAAGCCTAACGAGCGCCGCACTATCTGCCCGCCCACTCGTCCAACCTCAACGCCAACGCCAGAGGTCTTCGCTCATCACGCCAGCCAGTTACCCATTAAAGTGCCCATCGCACCAATCACCACTGCACTGCTCGCCGGCCGCTGGGCATTTTGCCAATCCTCCTCACTTCAACCCCTCCATCTGGCCTCCATCTTTCAAATCTGGCATTGAAAAGTATACGTCCCATACCCACTCCATCGAACCCCCCCTTCTGGCGCCAAACTCCACTTCCGCATCAGCATCAACATCCTTGTTTCCCCCCCTAAGCCTCATTCAGTACCAAGGTCGCTGTAGGAGAAAAATCTCCTCTCCAAGACCAGTTATTGAGGCCAGCCTCCATTGACCAGCATCCCTGCTCGCCTGCTGGCCTGCGTTCCTATTCCGAACTCTCTCGATGCCTCCACTGAAATCATCCCAAGGTCCGGTCTGGCGCAGGGGACCTCGTCCCGTCCAGTCAAACCTCACCCTTGGATTCTCCACCACCAACGCCATCTCGAGCTAAACACCCTGCATTCAGAGAAACGTCCAAGGCCTGGTCAATGATGCGGACGACCCAGGTTTTGCTACAGCACAAAGGGTCGATTCCACCGACGTAGCTCACGCTGGCAAAAGACCTCCAACTTGAATGCTTCAAGAAACAATTTATCTACCCTCACATTCCCCACCTGTTGCGCCAGTAGATCTGTTCTTTTTCGATCCCTCCAAGCAGGATCTCAATCATCCAACACAATTCCTCTTTGTCTGAGACCAGAGATCTCCCGTGACTAAACATCAACAACATCAGCCGCAACCCCAGGATCATCCACAAACAAAACCCTCCCCAACCTTCTCCCTTTAGGACTCCAGGAAACTCTTCCTAGTCTTGTATTTCTCACGACCGTCGAGCCCAGCTTATTGGCGCTGGCATCTCAACCATCATCTCAGCCAATTCTGAACGATCTGCCGTTCGCCGAACTGGTTTTGAGAGTTTTCGCATCCACTGCAGCAGAGTTATCGCTATCAAGGGAAAGGGGCATTGCTGAGACCACTATCGACAACTCGAGCAAAAGATCAACATCGACCGTCAGTGGATCTCCCATTGGCAGCTGCCCGCCTCCAGGCTCTCCACACGATATTCTACATAACCGCGCTGATCCCCTCCGTGAGAAGTTGGACCATTCATACTTTTGTTTTAGTATTAATTTTTTTTTTTTTTTTTGGGTTGTCAAGGAACCCAGACATCGAGGTGACTCTGCCCATTGCTAATCACCTCCATTCACTGCGGCGACGTTACCACTTAATTCCTACCGCTCTTTTTGGGAAACACCGTCCCCATGACGATGGTCATTGACAACCAAGGTCGACACTACGGCGGTATGAGTTACGATCATATGTATCCCAACATGCATACTTCGCCGCAATTCAGCGACCCATGGTCACACCAGACCAGCACCTCCAGCTCTTCATTTCCGGCCATGGCCAAGACGGACAGTGCCCGATCTGGAATGTCAATGCCATATTCGCACATGACTCCAGCAGTGTCTGGTCCAATGACTCAAGGTAGCGGCTACTCCAGCACCGGATTTTCTGGCGCGGATTTGCTAAGTCTCCCTCAAGACATTCCTCGATCGAGCTACGGCGAGCAATCTTATTCTTCTCCATCAGCGACTACGTCGTCGTACGCGCCGTCATACTCTTCTTTGAGCTACGCCCAATCGATGCATCAACAGCAACAAAACCAACAACATCAGCAACAGAACCGAAAGTTGTCGGACTCGTGAGTGACTTTACATCCTCTCGCCTCGCCCCTTTTCTAACGATTGATATCAGAATTGACAACTCCCGCGCCGCAAACGCCAGCTTTGGTGAGCTTGATGCTTCCCGAGGCATGTTGGCCCTAAGCCATCAAAGCCTTCAAGATTTGACCCCACGCAACATCTTCGAAGCGAGAGCTCAGCGAGCATCCACTGACTCGTATGGCTTCCCTCACACATCTTCCAACCACTCCTCCATTTCCAATGAATCTGGTCGCGGTTATCCCTACTATGCGCCCAGCTCAGTTGGATCGGTGACCGATTCTGCCACGGACTACAGCTCAGCGGCATCTGACACCGGGTACGAATCAATGGCCGCATCGCGAACACTCCCTCGTCCCACTCAGATGCTAGGAGCTCCTATCGGACCCCCGGCTCCTCAATCGATGATGGGACAATTCTCCTCCAAGATGTCTGCCAATACTCAGAAGAAACATAAATGCAAGGTGTGCGACAAACGCTTCACGCGGCCTAGTTCGTTGCAGACCCATATGTATAGCCATACCGGCGAAAAGCCATTTGCCTGTGATGTGGAAGGCTGTGGGCGTCATTTCTCTGTTGTCTCCAATTTGCGCCGACACAAGAAAGTACACAAAGGCGACACGACCTCGAATGCCAGCCATTCGGATGTCGAGGAGTAAAACAGCAAACGTCAAAAAGATATCCCCAAAAATTTACGAGACCGCCAGCTCCCTTGGTGGAGACGACTGTAGCATCAAAAGCACTGCTATTGATTGCTCTTTCCTTGCTCCATGTACACTATTCTGGCAGATGACGCGATTGGAGCACCGCGACGCCAGTGTACAACAGGTGATTGATAGAATGGACGGGATTTCCAAAAGCCAGGTGCAACCACGTGGTAATTGGCATCCGGAATGCCAGACTTCGATTCACGACACTCGCTTATAATACAGTATATTGTTTATTATGACGACTTGATACCCAGAGATGACGCCTCCAAGCATGACAGTTTGTGCTTTTCGGCATGTGAGCGTTTTCGAGCTCACTGCAAATGCAGCAGTGTGTTGGGGCGACGCCTCATTTGTGATTGGGAGAGGATAAAATAATTGCTCGGTCTCTCTACAGATTGAATTGAAAAAACAAAAAAAAAAGTGAAAGGAGCAATGTTCAGAGGCTCCGTTTCATCTGGACGACTTCTACACAACTGGATGGTTTTGTGGTGAGAAGAGAAGAAATAACACTATAATGGTTGCAGCTACGGGGCGGGTATGGAACTCAGGTCGATTCGTGCATATGTGCAAGAGCCGCGCAGCAATAGCTGAAGTCCACACAGACAGAGACAGCAGAGATTCAAAATTATTACTGCAGACTCTACATATGTCCCTAGGTATCTTTTCAATCATACTTGGCGAAGAAACATTGATCCCTTCTGCCACGGTGATGGCGGTAATCTCAGCAATGGAGAAAAGTCACGTGCAACCCAGAAAGAGCAGAATGACATCATTTTGAAAGCGGCCCGCAGTCTGTTTGAACGACATCTGCCGCTTGCTTCTCTTGTTCGACCTCTTTTTCACGATCTTGCTTTCATCATTCGGCCTACTCCTTGTCCTGCTCTCCCTCGTCTCTTGTGTCGCTTGTTTTCACCTATCCTCCATCCTCGACACTGGCTTCACTATCCCCGCCGTTGTCACTACCATTGGCCATCTCGCAACCTGAGACCATGGGCCGCCCACCCCCTCGAGTCATGGCGTCAGTGGCGTTTTCTACAATGTTTGATTGCTCGACGTCGCGTGGCAGTCGCCCTCCCTTCTCTTTTGTTGGACGCACAGACCATTATACAGATGCTTTCCGAATCCCTCAATGTTTGGGTCCCTTATTTTCTGTCGTCGTCTGCATTCCTTCGTTTGCAACATTGCGTCGGGCGGCAAAGCCTCAATTGGCAGCCACCTACTCCATGACATTCCCCCGGTTTTACTACGTTACACAGAAAGGATCCACTTTTTCCTTCAATTCAACGGGCCGCTATGACATATCTTCCGGCCCATGATCCCTGGAACAAGAATGGCGTTTGTAGAGACAAAACATGGAGATGCTCCGACCTCTTCAAGCTGGCAATGTATGCTTGCAATTGGAAATTCCGCTCATCAGGCACCAAGACCATGGATTACCAGAACACGCGACGCTAACGCCTGGTGACGACTTTGCACTGATATGCTGGGATCGCTTGACAATCAAGCCCAAATGCGGATAATGGTTAACTCAACTCGAGGCGACGTAGTGTGAACTCCCTTCCAGCTTACCAGGGCTTACTGTTTGCATGTGGCCGCTTGAGCAGCCTCGTACAACGCCTTTGTTGGATGCCCGTCAAGGACGCCTAATACTTCTTTCCCCCTCCCCCCTGGCCCCCGGCCTGGGTGTCGACGTCATTTTAAAACTGAGATGTACTCATTGACGCCCAACTCACTCTGTGGTTGTCATTGCCTCGCTCGTTTACATGCTTCAGTGCGCTTCACTTTGACGTAGACGACGAGGCCACTCCAGGGAGTAGCCGTCCTGACCTCCACGGACCCAAGGAGGCGATGGTGCCCCTGAAGCTCTATCGAGGTTGAACTACGATACCAGCGTCTGAGGGAGAAGAAGGGAAGGAGGTTAAACCTATCTTTCTTTATCACTGTTTAAAGTGAGGCGAGATCATGATAGTCACCCTCCCTCACCCAAAAATTCGCCGAGGAGCTAGAATTAGTCGCGACCTGGCAACAAGGTAAAGCGGATGGGAGCGAGGGTATCGCCCTCTTGATGCTGAACAGTACACTGCATGCAAAATTCTTGTTCCCTTAGGCATCGAGCAGAGATGAACCTGGAAGTATAGAGACTATCTTCACGAAAATCTCATTCGTCTGGTTCCTTCGAGACAGGCCCAAGATGAAGTTGACAAGACTCAAGTCTGCTGGCGACTATCTTTGGGAAATCGCAATCGGCTTCTCGGTCTTCCTGCGTGTCCTGATGGCTGTGTCAGGGATCAAATTCCTCGTGTCGACAGGTCTTTGAAATTGCCCATTACCAACCCTAACTATTTGAGTCTGGAATCCATTGTGTCGTGGACCTGGAGCAGACAACTTACATGCTCAATCGTCACAATCTCTCCCCCTTTGTCAGTGTCTCTCGAATCGCTCCTCTCAAGCTTTGCGGCTAAACTCGCTGTCAAAATGGGGACTGTGGTAGGTCATTTGCACATCCAACGACCCAACAAGTCAGAGGTGTGTTCGACACGCAATTGAGCATCTGGTCTGTCGATCCCTTCTTCTTGTTTGACAACGGTGCCCAACGTATTGACCTGCTATGGCGCTTTGGGCGTGATTTCTCGATCAGGGCGATGAAAATCTTCCCCGGCAGCTACTTCTCCCTCGGGGCTTCTTGGTAGGACAATGATCCGCGATAGGTCTATGCAACACTTCATCACAGACACCTTTCCGCCCCTGTAATCCGTAGCAAGAAATCTTCGGTCCGGTTGCCGATGGGACTTGCCCGGTAAGAATCTTGATGCAAGGGACATTTGCGACATGTCTGAATGGCCCATGGTAAGGGAAAAGCAAATCATCTAGTTAGTTTCCCAAAGTTCCATGGCTAATGATCGTTTTGCGAGCACAGAAATCCATACCTCTTCGACATTTCTCTATACACAAATCGAACGCCTCAATCCACCCGGCCACTTTCGACAGCGGACAACAAATTGACAATGAATACAGATAACTATGCTGCGACATTTCTGTCTACAAGGATACGGGACGTAGAAAACACAAGGCGTCGGCATCTACGTGGACAAACTTACTCATCGGGGAATGTTGGGCTTCTGACGGCGATTGGAGGCAGCAGTAATGTATCGTCCGCCTTGAAAAGACCTTGCCCTTGGGATAGTCTGATATGTCACTCTAGGAAATACGGAACGGAAGAGGTTACCAGGGCGATGAGGCAATGAGTACATCTCACGGTCACCAAGACCAGAGATGAAGTCACGAGACCCCCAAAAAGGGGAGGCGCAACTTAGCCCCGACACAAACATGTGGAAAACAAAAACAAAAACCACTGCGAGGGTAGGTCACGATCACGAGCTTACAAACAGCCAACAGAATCTCCCAGGGGTGAGGGAGTCAGAGCCCACCTACTGGTGACCCATCTCGGCTGCTCCATGTTACGGCGGCGAGCGAATGGGTTGGTGGCTATATGTGGTGGGTTGGCCACCTATCGCTAGGCTACGAGAATACCCCCGTGACTTGTGCTCGCTCGCGTCATAGCTTGACTTGAGTCAAGTCAACTTGGCGTCAATGAACCTGGACTTCGACTTGGAACAGGTATCAATCCGCCCCAGCATTGAACGCTTACAACTGCGACTCTCTTGGCCATGTGCTGACGGCGTACCATCTTCCCACTTACTATCTCACATGCTTTTTCATTTCATAGCCCGAGAGATGCGAGGGAGGTATTCAGCCAGGGAGTCATCGAGTCTCCACGGCAACCGGGAGCCTTCACAAACATATGTCGACATGAAGGTTCAGAATGCGATCGAAATGGAAGAGGCAATCAATCAATCAACCAATCATATATTCATTTGTTCTCGAGTTCTCTAGAGGCACTACATCCCTTAAGAGCAGGCCGGATTCATCCTTTATTATCTACGCTCTTCGCTGTCCACCTCCCTGCTCTCTGTCTAGTGTTTAAGTGGTAATAGGAGGAGATGTATTGAGTGAAAGAATGAGGGGACGAGTCTTAGCTTTCTCTGAATCAAAGATCCTAGCAACCACGTCGTCCGTCCAATGTCGATATGTCATGATCCAATCAAGCTCGTCACTTTCTCCATAGAGAAAGACTTCTTCCTAATTCACACTTACACTTTCTCCCAAATACCGCTTTCGCTACCGATGGAATTGAATCCCCAACCAGAAGCTGATGCAGGTACAGATGAAGCACCTGCTGAAGGTCCGGGCTCAGTCCTATTATAAATTTTACCCGCACCCTGTGCATGTTCCTCGTCATCTCTCTTCCTATACCCCATCATGAACGCAACAAGCCCATTAGGCATAATACGTCCGACGATATCATAAAGTCTAGCTCCACTGCCCACAAAAACCACCTCTGAGCGCGAAATAGCCGTCCATTCAAATTGTCCAAATGCCTTGAACGTCTGCGGCGGCGCGAGGGCATCGAAGACCGCATTGTGGAATTCTCGAGCTGAAGAGCCGCGGATTAGACTTCGTTGGCCAAGATTCTTGCGCTGGAGGGCGGCGCGTTGGGAGGAATGCCAGTGCGTCAATGCTGAAGATGACGTGCTCGTTTGAGCTGTAGATGGCGGAGGGGTATTTCGGGACGAAGCGACGGAACCCATATCAAAGTTGCCTAGTTTGAGTTCAGAGACGGTGATATTGACGTTGGCCGCATTGATTTCTCGTCGGAGGGAGGATGCAAGAGCGGAGAGCGACGACGTCACTAGACATTCTGGAATCTGGCGTGGAGGGGACAATGAGTTGGGGATCGAAGGATAGGCAATGACGATAGACGAAGGGGACCTCGAGTCGAGGCTATGATTTGCCAGGAGAGGGAGGAATTGTTGGGCCGTCAGTACGGGAGAGACCAGGCGCGTGTTGATAGTGTCGACAATGTCGCTGGGAGGTAAGAGCGCCAGAGGTCCTTCGGAGTACCCCGAACAACCTGGAAAGACGACGATGCCGGCGAGTGTCATGTTTCCCATGGAGGAGCCGTGCATCGACCGACTGGGGTTTGGAGATGAAGGGCGAGACGATTTGGTGAGGAGCTCTCGAATTGGCTCCAAGTTAGGATGCACGTCAATGGCAGGATTGGGGACCGTTGAAGTCAGATCGATCCAGAGTGGACGGAGATCGGCTTTTGCTTCTTGCTGGATGAGAGAGTCTTCTTCGGTAGATGAAACGGTGACGTAAACGACATAGCCTCGCCTCTCGAGATCGATGGCAAGAGACCGTGTCAACGCATCGTGGAAGGTCGAGCAAGCTAAAATGACAATTTCCTTCTTTGCGCCATTGGGGAGTTTCTTAGCCCTTCTCTTCCGCGCGTGTGCCTTTTTCCTTCTGTGCACTAAGTATATGGATGTCCCTGCGAAAGCCACCACTATGGCAATGGCGGTGCGGTTCTTGGATATCCAAGCCGTGCTCTTTTCGAGGAAGCCCTGTGGGGGAGGAGGGGGGCGCGCGAAGAAGTTGGCCGGTCCGTTGCCTGCTTGACGAGGTGGCCGAAGGGAGTCAGGAATCCAGCTTGCTTGGTCGATTGCATTGCGGATGTCGGAGGCTATGGCGTTGGTGTGCTTCTCGATATAGTCGGCAATGCGACTGCCGTAGTATGCCACATCTTGCGGGATGGATGCTAGCTGGCGGTGCTAGATGTCAGTCATTACGGTTCCTGGCGGGAGTTGACAAGGAAACTCACGAGGTCCAGGAATTGCTGGTCGTCACTCGTCATCTTCGGCGGGATGCAAGCTTTCAAACCTTTGCGGTCATTGATAGCAGTCGGGAGGCACTGAGAGCAATACTCTTGATTCCCTCTGTCAGGTCCCAGAACGTCTGACACGGACCAATCGGGCAGGAGGGGTTACAATCCATCGGATCACGTGCCTGGCACGTGGCTCGCCTCTTGAGGCTGAGATGTATTACGAATGTTTCTCTTTTTGCCTTCTGACGCCGGCAACTCGACGCAGGATATCTTTCTAGCATCTTCTGGTGGTGTTTCTCTCGTGAATGGTGGACGGTATAGCTTTCCGGCATTTGCTTTTTTTTGCTGTCTTTTATATCGCGAATTTGCTACTATTACGTCGTTAAATACCCTCCTGAAAGCGAGAGCCTACAGATCTCGGTCACTACCATGCTCCAGGTCCAGTGACGAACTGGTGTCTACAGAGTTTGGGAGATACCTAACAACTCCACCATCAATCTTGATTCTTCTCCGTCGTTCACAATACCTTAAGATATTCATCGATTCCATCAAGATGTCTCGTGCACATCCCACCGAACTTGACCCATTGGTCGACGAATTCCAGCACCTGTCGGAAAAGAGGCGGCCGGCTGAAGCCTTGCTCATGCTGAGGAAAATCGCCTCCACGGTGAAGCCCATTATGCGTCTTCGCAACTGGAGGGTCGGTGTACTGTGCGAATTCTACCCCTCGGAAGCCAATCTTCTCGGGTTAAACATCAATCGCGGGGAAAAGATCTGTCTTCGCCTCCGCTATCCTGGAGATGATACTCAGTTCCTCCCCTTTGAAAACGTTGTCGACACGATGCTTCACGAGCTAGCACATATCGTCCATGGTCCCCACGACCAAGCTTTCAATGTTTTATGGGACAAGCTTCGGGACGAGCATGAGGCCTTGGCCAGAAAGGGATACACGGGCGAAGGGTTCTTGGGCAAAGGCAACGTCCTGGGTGGAAAACGAATCCCCATGTCTGAAATCAAACGACAGGCCCGGGCGGCAGCAGAGAGACGACGCGATCTCACAAAGGGAAGCGGACAAAAGCTTGGCGGCCAGGGAATTCTACGAGGTCAGAATGCTAGAGAAATCATCGCCGCGGCTGCGGAGAAGAGATTGCGGATTGAACGAGGCTGCGCCAGTGCGACAGACAAAGGGCGAAAGATCGCACAGGAAGAAGCAAACAAGAAGGACAAGGTGACAACGACGAAAGCGGAACAAGAAGATGAGAACGACGCTGCCATGATGCAAGCCTTCATCGACCTGATCCAAGAAGAGGAAAGTCAACTCTTCGGCAAAGGGTATGTCCCACCCAGCCAGGAGAATCCCGCTGGAGTGCGAGCCCGCGGCTACCCACCGGGTTCGAGGACGAATGTGGTACCATCCATGGATGCTCAGTCGCTCCGTGAACAACAACTTCAGATCGAGCGACAACTGCAACAAAATCGAGCCCTGGAAGCGCAGCAACGACGGCAGCAACAAGATGTGTCTAAACCCAAAGCGCCGACCCACAATCCTTTCACACCACCTCCCGAACCTCAGACCGCTGAGCCCGAAACATGGACGTGCGAAGTCTGCACTCTCATCAACCCAATACAATTCCTGATGTGCGACGCCTGCGAAGCCGAACGACCCGCAATCTACTCGAAGCCGACAATATCCAACCTTCACCCTCCCCAACCCGCATCTTTGATATCGTCATCCACATCTAGATCCACATCGGTTGACAAATCCAAATCCCGTTCACGCTCGACACCAACTGCTCTGCAACCACGCCTGTCAGCCGCCGACTCACTGGCACGGATAGAAGCCCAGGCCAACGCAAAAGTGCAAGCAAAACCGATGGGCTGGACGTGCTACGGGTGTGGTAATTGGATGGAAAGCGAATGGTGGACGTGCTCTGCATGTGGGCGTATGAAGGCAAGTTCTTGAGCGCACACCTGGAATGAATTGCGTGAGCGTTGGAGTTGTAGGTGTCATGGCTTGTTACGGCAGACCTATCCTGATCTGACCTATGTTAATGCGGGTGTCTACTTAGAATATATCAGATCAGCATGGAACGAATTGATGAAGATTGGAATGGAGATGAGAAATGAGAACAAGGACAAGAGAGAGTAGCTCGGTTTGTGCAGGAAGGTTATTGCTGTCTCGATCTGAGAGAAAGATACAGTGAGTCGGTGACGATAGTAGTGCCTGTTTCAATTTCCACAAAGAGGGCATTGGCTGTCTTATTCTTTTCGTTCCTCAAGCTAGATTTGAGTCTTCAACCTCGTTCCGACCCCCTATAAAGGGCAACATACGCAATATCAACGCTGAGCTTGTGCAGAAATCGTACTAGCCGTCGAGTCATGTACTAGTACAAGTGATTTCTAGTAAGAGAATGGGAAAATGGGAGAATGAAACTTTCCACAGTCTAACCGAATTAATTAGAGGAGGTTACTGCTACTCCAACAGGCGAACTTTCCTTCCAGCTTAACAGGATCTTTTATTCCGTTCATTCATTCATTCGCTCGTCAGTCTATTATTCTCTCATCTCAAAGGTTTCCAGTTTGGATTTGTTGTGGGGACAGACTTGGTCATTGATCATTGATCATTGACGACGAAACATCTCTTCATTCATGGTATTTCATGGCATAGTCAGACGGACCTTCAAAATTCCAGTGCATGGTTTGCCGTGAGCCAAAGTAAGTCAAAGTAATTATGTCAGTCACCAAAAGGAATCCCCAACTTGACTTTATATCAACTCATTTGCTTGACTGGGCTGATGGATATGCTTCAATGTCAATGATTTGTGTTTACGCGGGGTCATCCTGGAAGAATCTGTTCACAAGTACATTAGCATTGCCTTTTTGGGGGGTTTTAGGGGGGGGGGAAACTAGGCTACAGAGGTCAGTTACTTACCGCATAATAGCTTTGATACCTCTAGAACCAAGACCATGCGGTGGGTAAGCAATCCAAACAGGATCAGCAACGGCACCCATCTTCTCTCTGAACTCCGACTTTCTCGCTAGGTTGAACTGCTTCACAATAGCATCGTATGTAGCCTGCAACATCTTGACCTTGGTACCACTCATGTGGTGACCAGGAGTCAAATGAGCAGCTGCACCACCACCGAAAGTAATGGTCTTGACACCGGCATTTGCAGCTACACTGAGTGCGTGTGTAGTGATGTATTCGATCGTTCCTGAGGGTGCTCCTGGGAAATCGAGGGTGTACTTGGCTTGCCATCCTCTGCGAGGAGCAATTTCGGCCATGACTGCAATACCGCAAAGAGTACCCTCCTTATCTTCTGCGATCGAGTATCGTCTGTGCTTCTCATCCCGGAAAAGATCGATGTTGGAGAGATGGATCTGTGTGCCCTTGCGGTTGGCCAGCCAATCTTTGACCCTTGCATTTGCACGTTCCTTGATCGATTCAGGCACCGGCTCTTTGGGATCAAGATCAGTGATCTTGACCCCATCAGCCTGAGCCTTGCGAATCTTCCTGGCAACTTCGGGATCGGACTCAGCAGTCTTCTTGTTGGGATCGACACGCTCTTCTGCGACGCAAGAAAGTGTTTTCCAACCCAAACGTTCACCAAGGACTTCTTCCATTTCTGGACTGATCAAAAGCCAAAGAGGTTTGAGCCGAGTTTCCTTCTTAAGCCACTGGAGGAAGGATACGACGACACGGTAGTACTGGCTCGGGTGACAGAGAGGATCACCAGGAAGAATGGCGTAATGACCCACAGGAACGTAAGACACTGCAGCGCCGGTGTCGGCATGGCGCCAGATCTTGTACCTTTCATCGCCCCAGGAGGTGGCAGTGGCATCACCATAGTTGGCAATAAGATCGTAAAGATCTGGCATCTTGCGATCCTGGACGGAAACCTCGCGTCCACGTTCTTGACGCCAAACCGGATTCAACGTGTCAGCCTCGGGGTGTCGAAGTTTCTCGACGGCAGGCTTGGGTGGGAATGACTTGGGATCTCTATGGAACAACGAGGCCAGACGAATGTTACCGAGCTTGAGGATAAGCATGACAATACGTTCAAGACCAACACCACAGCCAGCGTGTGGTGGAGCACCCCATTTAAAGCCTTCCATGTAGTCGGACATGTCATCGGGGTCGATACCCACCATGCGCATGTTGTCCTCCAGCATCTTGGACTCATGGATACGTTGGCCTCCGGAGATAATTTCTTGACCGCGAACAAACACATCGAAAGAGTTGGTGTATCTCTCGTCCTTGGCATCGGGCATGGTGTAGAAAGGTCGCGCTGATCGAGGAAATTTGTCCAAGATGTAGTAGTCGGTCTTGTATTTCTCTTTGATAAGCTCGCCGAGACGAATCTCATCTCTCGTGGCAAGGTCTTCAAGAGGCGAAACTGGTTCGCCATCTTCGTTCAGCCATCCAGAATCAGTTAAAAGTTTGACAGCATCTTGGAATGGAATTCTTGGGGTTTCTTCCAACCACACAAGATCCTCACTCGGGAATTGCTCCTTGATGATTTCGATTTCGCTGCGATATTTGGCGTAGATACCCTTGAAAATGTTCTTGAGAGTGGTGTCGATAACATCCATCATTTCATGGTAATGCTCCTCAATGGCCATTTCCAGATCGAGGCCAGTATATTCAGTCAAGTGACGATGGGTATTAGAATTTTCAGCTCTGAAGACGGCGCCAATTTCGTAGACTCGCTCGAAATCGGACGCGATGGCCATCTGTTTGGCAAGCTGGGGAGACTGGGCTAAGAATGCGGGACGGCCAAAGTAGTTGACCTTGAAGACCGACGCGCCAGATTCGGTTGCAGCACCTTGGAGTTTTGGTGTGTGTATTTCAACAAAATGCAGATCATCAAGCGAAGTTCGGAAAAGATTGCCCACGGCTGCCTGGATGCGGAAGATAGACTGTGAGGTGGCAGTCCGCAAGTCCATGATACGGTTCGTGAGTCTGACGCGGTCGGGAATTTGACTTTGGCGGCCATCGACTTTTTGTCCGTCATTGAGAATGGTCAACTCGGCTTCCTGAACCGAGAATGGAACTGATGTAAGTTAGCACAAGCTTTTTAGAACCCATAAGAGAAGTCAACACATACCGGGCTCGGCCCGTTTAACGATGACGTGCAAGTCGGTTACTTTCACCTCTACAGTGTGGATGGAAGCCGATTTTACTGGGATTTGCGGCTTCTGAAGGATACCCTTAACCAGCATAATATTACCGGTGCGCAAATGCTCCGCCCAATGGATCATGATCGCAGAGACCTTGCCAGGTTCCTCCACGAGCACGCCCTGGATGGTGGTGATCTGTTGTCGGAAGATGAGGAAGACCAATTTGGCACCCATGTTACGGACGTGGTGAAGCCTGCAGCGGAAGGTGACCTCTTTGTCGGCCATCTCTTCGGTAATGGTGCTGATGTCAATGCGGTTCGTGGCATGGCGGGTGGTGGACTGCATGAGAGGCAGATCGCCATAGTGGCCCTTCATTTCTTCAGTCTCGGTTTTGGCGGCCTCCTCCAGCCTCTTCTTGGTGCGCTCTTCAGAATCATCCCGATTCTCAAGGCTCAGCCTTGAGCGGTGTTCATGCTTTCTCTGTTTTATGATCGCCCTCTTTTGTGCATTCTTGCTCATGCCATCGCTGTCAAAGTCACTCATCTCGGATTCGTTGTCGCTGGAGAAACTGTCTTTGTCCAGATGAAGGAACTGGGCCAGGGATCGGCGGTGAGGCCCAGGACTTTGAGAGGAGACTGGGGAAATCTCCCCGCTGAGCTTTGGGGAGTCACCCCCGTTGGGATGAACGTGTTTGGAAAGTTTGCGGAGGACAGACATGTCGGCGGTAGCGTGGATGACTGCTCCTCTGGACTAGAAAAGAGGAAGAAGCGTGTTCCCAACCGCAAAAGACGGAGTTTTCAAAGATGATCAGATGTCTGACTGCCAGGCCGTCTCGTGGGTAGGATGTGTTTGGGTTAGGGTAACTCGGCTCCTGCGATTTTGCACAGGACAAATGTCAGAGATGGGATTTCAATTTGTCTGGGCGGTTGCAAAGAGGATGTCGAGGGAGGTCTCGGTGCGAGGGGTCGACCGATATCAGCCAGAGGAGATATGCGAAGTTGTGCAGTAGCTGCAGCCGCAATGGCGGAAAGTTTAAGAAGAGGCAGAAGCAGGAGGAAAAAGAAGCAGTTCGGAGGGAGAGGGTGAAAAGCTTGCGCTGGTCTCTCTGTCAGACAGGGAAAATATTGCAAGCCCGAAGAGTCAAGGCGAGAGGACGAGCTGGTAAGCGGGCGAAACAGAGCAAGAAAGAAGTTGAGGATAGGGACGGGAGTGCCGGGATTGACTGGAAAGAGGGTCGACGACGATGACTTTGACTTGACAGATCTGTATCATGCTTACTCAGGCGGGGAGTTTGTACCTCTGCCACCCAATCACGCATCCACTTTGTCTGTCCTGTGATTGAAGTTAATCCTCTAAAAGAGCTCCCACGTTTCCCTTGTGGCCTCGCTGAGGTGAGGGCTGGTATTCGTGTCGGCTCCTAACTGAGGCGTCATTATCGTGTTTCCGTGCTCGGTTGCCATATGCCCTTCAGTCAGTCATCGTTGCTCAGGCTGTTCAGGTCGGTCAGGCCCCGCCTTCCAGTAAGGTCACGTGTACAGGTCGCTGTGATGTTGACTCCAATGGGCTGGAACAGAGGCCACGGAGAGCACTGGCAGAACTCCAGGGTGCAAATGGGAAATTCCAGTTTCAGGCAACATCATCATCACCCAACCTTGGACCCCACGGGCCCGCCGGATTACTAAGACCTCGAACCCATCTGAGAACAAATAAGAAGGGTCAAAAGAGAGACAGCAATTCCCAAGGGGAGCGGAAAGAAGAGCAGAGGGATTGAAATATGAAAAATCAGCCCTCCCGGGGGATGAGGGATGCATCAACAGACATTCTTATTCTCCGACTAGCACCGCCTTCTTAAATGCTTCTTGACTCTTGGGCCCTCGAGTCGTGCGTGTCACCGGCAAAGATCATGGGAACTCCCAGGGAGATAGTGTCATCAACATACATCCGCCTGCGGTGCTCCCTTTGTCCCCCTGCAATGTATTTCATTTGTTGACCGATCCCGCTCAATACGCATTCAAGCGTAAGTCTGACGAGCTGCGGAAGACAACCACTGAGGATTAAGATGTCCTCTACTGATGGGGAAAGAGTTGCGCACACGAATTTGTGCCATTTTACTGGTGTGAAGTTTGAATTCGAGACGAACTATTTTCTCGCAACTCATACCTGAAACACAGGGCCCCTAAGCGCTGGGTTGGATAGGGTCGGATGTTCTTATAGAGCCGGTCCCGAGTCTGCGTCCCTTCTGGATAGCCGAGGCAGAGGCAGGAAAGCTTAGATGTTTCTAGGGGAATTGTCCAGTTTTGTTTCCCCCATGTCGACTTTGGGCATCGGACGCGCCCAGGGTCTCGTTGCAAATTTCTCCTCCCTGCCGATGCCCATTGCCCATTTGCTAGGCCCTTAGGCGTATTGCCGGGGGTGCCCCTAAAGTGTGCTGATGCTGCCATTTGTCGGCAGAAATCCGGCCTGGATCAGGAGTCTTACTGTCACAGTCTCCTTCGCATGTCACAGCCACAATACCGCGTCACTTTGGAGCGCCAGAGCTCCTCGCGATAGGTTGGTGAGGCTCACCCGCTCCTGATCAATGATGCGCAATGCTTTGTCGGTTGGCCATCAAAATGCCATCATCCTATCCGATACTCCGCCCTAATGTTACTGCCCCCCCTTTCTTCTGTTACCGGGTCATTGTCGATGAGGTCTTTTATTTTGCATCGGCTTATATACTGATTTTCCCAAACCACCACCATATAGTGACCACTCCCCTGGACTTCCTCTTCTCCTGCATTTAGAGAATGTGCATCTCATCATGCCAGAAACATCCTCTCCATTGAGTCTCAGCACTATGGACCACGAAAACATGGGACAAGAATCTTACGACATGAGAGAAGCCAAAGACTTTGCCTCACCAAAGAGTCCCAAAATCACCTTCAACAACGTGAACCTTGCAGACTTTGAAGATGCCTCAACGCTCGAGCCGCTCCCGCAAACGCTCACCCAGACCACGTCCACCGAAGAAACTTTCTCAATGAGACCTCGTTCAATGTCCCACCACCTGTCGAGTAAAGACGTACCCTCGAGAAGATGGCTCAAGATCCAAGCGAAGTTTTGGCGATCCCTCATGGCGTTTGCCATGTATTTTCACGATTGGGCGCCTCCCCGATCTGTGAAACCAGCGTTCAAACACAAGATTCCTACCGACACCACTCCCATTGTCCTCTACTTCTACCTCCCTCCCAGATATCACGAGACCCTCAACAGAGACCCCAACTTCCGCTTTCCTACTGTTATAAACTTCCACGGCGGTGGCTTTTGCCTGGGTGATGCCAGAGATGATCGATATTGGGCAAGAGTCGTTTTGGAATATACCAATGCTATATTCGTGAGCGTCAATTATCGACGGGCTCCGGAACATCCTTTCCCGATACCGGTGGACGATTGTGTCGAGTCAATTCTGTACATTTCTGAACACGCGCCACAGCTGCACATCGATCAATCCAACATTGCTCTATCCGGGTTCTCCGCTGGAGCCAACCTCGCTTTCACAGTTCCATTCCGGTTAGCATATCATCGAAAGATGGAAGCCATCGATCGAAAGTCACCCCGTCCCCCGACGTCCTACAGCATGGAAACCGACTCCGAAGCAAATGAGCACGAGGACTACTGCCATGAAAGCAATGGCTTCGTCACCCCCGTCCAATCCACTTCCAATCTTGTCCGCCAGCAAACATCTACACCCATGGCCATCCGCTGCATTGTCGCCTGGTATCCTCTGCTTGACTGGACCATGTCCCGATCCCGAAAGATCCGCGAATCTCGAAACCCCAAAAAATGTCTTCCCAAGCTCTTCACCGACCTCTTCGACTTCTCTTACTTACCTCCGCCAGACATAGCAGGCGACCACTGCAGCCCCTATGCATCCCCCGGTCTCGCCCACGACCACATGATCATCGATGGCCTCCCACAGGATATCCAGATGTGGCTTTGTGAGTGGGACATGCTACTGCGTGAGGGGCAAGTATTCACCGAACGTCTCGACAAACTCGGCAAGAGGATCGACAGCAAAATGATTTATAGGGTGCCTCATGCGTGGGACAAATCGCCCAATCCATTCCGAGATCAACGTGCCATCGACATGCTCTATACCAAGTCAGCGGTCAATTTGAACAAAGTTTTCCAAGATAAAGAAGGTCTAGGGCCCGGAAATTCAATGAGTTCACTTCATCCCACGGACAGCATTATACAGAGGCAGCCGAGGAGGAGTATCGTCTTACCGGTGTGATTTGAGGCGTCTTTAAAAAGCCCCGGATTGTGGGGTCGCGGCTCACAAAAACTAGGCATTTTATGGCTCACGAGGGCCATGCGCCTTTTGCCGCCTAAGCCTCGCGGCGAAGTCATCTCATCGGCATTCGAATCTGGGTGAGGTCGAGCTTGGTGGATATTATGCATTTGAACTGTTGAATCTGTCGGCAATGATATTGCTCGCCACCAAAATGGTTCGAGCACATGTATTCGACCTTGAGGCATTGTGGTTCGGTATAATGCCATCAACATTACACCTTCTCACTTGACATTGGTCTTACACGCCAAGTTATCATCGTCCACTTATTACAAACCCGAGGTCATGAGGAGGATGAAGACTTGACGCTACCGTTGATGATCTTCCACTCTCCAATAACCTCACTTCGATTCGTTTCGCGTCACCTTACACCAGCGCTGCCATTCGTTTTGCTTATTCATTATTGCAGTATTCAGCGTTCCAGCGTCGGCGTCTAGGGAGAGTCACCATCATTCCACATGATCGTTGTCTGTTCGTCGGAAAGAACTGGCATTTTTCGCTTCTTTATAGGAATAGGGGTCATGATTGAGTTAGATGTTTGAATAGGGCCGGTTGGATTCATGTGTCACGACGAAGAGCTATGGGATGTCTTGGGTGCCACCAGCCACGAAAACGCAATGTCATGTCAGGTCAAGTCTTATTCTTACTCGCATATTCTATGGCGCTACGAAAGGATACCTAGGTTGTGAAGAGCATATTCTCTTTAAAGGGAGGTGGGGGGGGGGGGGCCGGCGGAATGAAAATTCTCATTTGTCCGGCGCCCTCCGTAACATGGTGAAAATGACCTCGTTCAGTTGTTTGCTCTGTTCCCTTCTCTCTTTCCCTTTCCTATTCTTTGCTCTACTCCCTTTAACCGGCTATCCACTGTCGGCTTCACAATCAAATATTCCTTGCACGACAGAGCATGTGTCCCACTGACAATTCAATCCACCTCTCTTACAAACTCTTCGTTCCTCTTCTCTTGGGCCCCCGTCCATTTCATCATCTTAACCAGCGCAATCTCAAATTCGTTTCTCTCAACATCTCATCTTGAAAGAGTTTTACCAATGTTCAGACAAACGTCGAAGCTGACAGACGATGTGAAGGACTCCAGATCCGAGAATTTAACACCACCGAGTCTTCTGCGGCCAGCCTTGCAAGTCCAGGTCACCATACCAGTATTCACGGAAATGATCCGTTTCTTCTGGTCTTGGAGAGTTGGCTTCTCAATATTATGCTCATTGAATACTTCGGTGTTTCTGGGCAATGTGAACGTACTAGGGAACTGAGAACGGTTGCAGGATCACACAACAAACCAATGATTGCCAAATCATTGAAATTTGAATACATTGTCACACTAGCATACTCACTGCTGCACATGGACAGCCCATTTCCATCAGAAGTTCTATCATACTACGTTTTCAGTGTGATAGCGTCCCTGTGTTTTCCACCTCATTTTCATTGTGACCAGTTCCTTCCTTCGAGTCATCTCTTTGTCATAGCCCTGACTTCTTCTGACCAGTGTGCAGAGGATCACATTTCCCCGACTTAATATCGCTTGAAAGCAGCATGACGAAGGGGAACTGCAACAGCAGGTTTGAATTGCTTTGCAGCAGGGCTAGGTGGGTTCCGTGCTTTGATCCGAGTTTCGTTCCGTTCTCCAGTAGAGATGTCCGATGTCGCAGCAGTCCCCGTTGGTTGAGTCACATTTGTTTGAGGATTTATGGTCAACGACCAGCCAGTGCCAATGGCGTCAGTGACGCCGGGATAAAGGGCTGGTAGAGCTCCCATTGGTTCCGTTGCCTCCCTGCCAGGAAGTGCTAGGGTCCCAGAGGGTGGTGTTGTGGTTCCGGGAAGTTGGTGGTCCCCACGGGGTCATTCCGTTTGTGACACATGGAATGATCGGTGTTGGCCCATACTGGATGGCGTAGGAGTTTCAGTGGGAATGTTGTTGCAGACAATGTCTCGATACGCTTTGGTATTGATCCCGAAGTGGCTATCAACCTGATTGAAGAGATCCCAATTGTCACAGATGGCAGAATGATTGGTAGAGTAATCCGAAGAAACCTCAAGTCCGTAAGTGGCAACCTGAAGAGTAGAGTATATAACTGGGCATGCGCCGCGTTGAAGCCATAGCCGTTGTCAGTAATCCAACGGAGAAGGGCCTTTGACTTGGTCAGGTTCGTGCCAGGATTCAAGCAACTAGTATCTGACTTTCGATGTTTGGACTTGTGCACATGCATCCGTGGCATTCATGCTGGAATCTGCGACATTCAGAGCAAACATTGCAGACATAATAGCAGTCAGTTGTTCTTGGGCGGCACCTGAGAGGAGTTCGGCATTTGGGAGGAATGTCGTTGCCGGAGTCGGACGCAAGGTCCAGCAATGTTGCTGCATGAGAACGAGGAGTAATGTGTGAGCTTGTGTAGCCTTTCGAGTCATCACTTTCAGCGGCTCGTGGGTCATCGGTTCCATCGTAGCCACGGCAGTCTCGCCTAGTAATAGCTGTAGTCTCCGGCATGTATTCAACTTGTGTGACTGTGAGCATGGAGCTCGTGGTTTTCGTGGGAATGGGTCTTAGGGAAATCAGTTGAGATCTCTTGAAGCCCACATCCATTCTTACCCTGGGAATGGGATTGTTCTCAAAATTGGTGACTGTGCAGTATCGGCAATCGACATCCTTCTCTTGTCAGCGGATGAGATATTTTGAAGATATCAAAAGAGGTTCAAACAGAAGTAAATGGTCATGATTGCGCTGTAGATTGCCGTGGTAGGGCTGATCTGAGGAGCCATGTCGGAAGTGTGGATCAGAGTGCAGCCCGGGATTGCATTTTCCGTTGACGGTAACTCCGAAGCACACATGGGCATCAGGACAATGGCGGAGAGACTGCAAGCGGCCAGGACCATGGGAAGAAGACTTTGAAGCCACATCTTGAAGTCGATGTCACAGAGCCGATCGATAAGTCAGTGGTATTGAAGGGAGGTTCAGTCAGGGGCAAAGCACCAGTGCCGGCTAGCTCAAAACGAAGAACTATGGATGTGATGATGGTTAGAGAAAAGAGGGATGAGTGAGAGAAGACGGAAGATAGGCCGATGAAAAGATGAAGCGAAGAAAAATTTAGAGAACGTAGGCTGATTGGGGAGAAGAGAAAGCAGAACTTGAAGGTTAGGAACCCATACACATTGTTGAACATCGTCAAATACCAATGCAATCCACTGTATTTTTGTCACTTTATGATCAAGAAAATGCAGACTTGATTCACGCGTAATTCCCAATAGATGGTGCACCCAGCATATAAGGACAAGTCATGATCAACTCCTCGTGAGCTGTCTGCCTCAATTATCGTCAATTGAAAACACGGTCTTCAGGACTCAAAGCCTAGGCACAGAGAGAATGCTGACGGCATGTATGAGGCCTTTGGTATTAGTCACGTGCTCCCCGTCTTTGTATTGTACCTACTTTTTTTGATCAATTCAGTAGCACACGAAGTACACACAAACAGTTCCAAGTTGCGTTCTTGCATTACATAAGACTACTCCCTAGTGTACGTACAAGAGAGAACGTCTCAAGTCGAAGAACTGGAGAGAATGATACTGACCACGTGACATCTGCCATTATACGTGAAATCATCGACGGCATTGCAGAATTTGCCGCGATGCAAACCAGTAATCGTCGGCAACTGCGCCTGGATGCGGGCTATATAAGCCGTCCACTTCCTGTGTGCCTATTAGTTAATGCGTGGAAAAAGGGACCTCAGCTTCGAACCCTTCTTCTTGACCTAGCAGTTTGATCGTCGGGCACTTTTCTGCGCATTCTCCAGCAGACTGCAAATCACAAGAGCAAGGATACTCGACACAACAGAACCTCATTCCATTTGGATTGTCTCCCGCTTCATAGCATCACCATTCTCGGCCGTCACTGTCCATCCGGACAAGGTGGAAGCGCCAACTTTGGTTTTTGGGGGGGTGGGAAAGGCAGCTAGTCCAAGTCTTCGCCGGGTTTTGCCTGGACATTTACTTCATACTGGGTTTCCACGTAAGACATAAGCTTGACCATGGCAATCCCATCGGCCATATCGAGACTGTTTCAAAGTACAAGAGGGCACAGAAAACAGTCGCAGTGCCGATGCCAAGACTTGAGCCAGTAACAATAACGGTAGTATCAACAACCTTGAGGTCTATCAAGCGCCTAGATAGACGATCTTTTTATTAATCATCGTAGTATGTCTTGTGCTGAGTAGTAAAATCGAGTGAGCGTTTGGCGTTTGGCTTCTCTGCCAGTTTAGTCTGTCTGCGTCATTGTATGCTTAGGCAAGCGGCCCGACTTTCATTTTGCAAATATATCTCTGGTGCGAGGTCGCGCAGCATTGTTTGACATCTCTCGATTCTACCAGAAAGAAATTTCGGCGCAAACGATGGGTTTAGCCTACCTTCAACTGCGATCTGGCATTCACTGATAGGCGCGTGTCCCCACGACAAATGAACCTTGCGATATTATCGCATAATTCACACCTCAATGTTATCGTGGGCGCTGGTTCGAATTCAAGCAACACTATGACTGAATTTGCTTTTTCCACCTTTTGCACGGTCATGTCCGGCGGGGCTTGGTTGAGTCGTGAAAAACCGGGGACTTTGTTAGAACCACTGTAAAGAAGTAATGGATGACCTGTTGAATTGGCTGTCTATGGCACTTGGCTGCTTCCGGAATGAATGATTGAAGGGGAGCCACCGGGACAAGGCGAAGTCGAGAAATGCACACAATCGTTTCGAGTCCGCTCGCTTTTTTGGCCCTCGCGATAAGACGGAGCGCAGCCAGACAACTCATATATTTCGAACTGTCCGTGTCGCGAAGCATTCTCCTTCATGCTTGGAGCTGCTACAGATGAAAAAAAAAATGCCTCACAAAGTGTCGGTGGAACGATGCAGACAAGCGGGCACCCAGACATAAACCCGGAATGCTACGATCACCCCCAGTCGGAAAAGTACCCAAAGTAGCATCAAATAAACAACTCTGAAACGAGCCTCCACAAAAGAATTTTCTTGCGTGTGAGCTTGGGCCACAATTCCTTCGCTGTGAACAATCTGCCGTGCGATGGTCCCAGCTCACTCAAAAAATGCCTCAGACTGCCGTTGCCTCCAAGGAAGAGCTTTGTTCTGCCCGATTTCCGCCTTGCTTCGAGAATTGTCATAACCTGCACCGAGATTCGTGCGATATTTTTTTCCAACTAGCATCCAGGGTCTGGAAGCATGCGGGAAATTTCCACGCTGGCAAAAAGCTGTGGTGGCCTTTGTGTTCCACTGAAACGCGCTGTCCGAGGCTCCGACGACGCCAAAGGTACACCCACAAATTAAACGAACCCGTTTCGGATCACATCCGCGGGTTGATCTGCGCGCAAGGCTGATGGCTGGTAAACAATGAGGCTCCGTCGAGGGCAGTTGGGGCGTCGCGACTCGCAGATTGTGTGCGCTGCAATTTCTGCAATTGGTGTCGTTGTTTACATATGGTCAAACATCCCAATTTAGGCCCCAATGGATTGGCCAAGCTGGGGCATGGGAAGGCCTGTTGAGAGTGCCCTCCCGAATCAAGCCAAAAAGCGCTCGCCTGGCACTAGCGGAAATTCACGCTTTAAGCTGTCAATCAAACTGTGGGCCTCGACCTTGGTTTGAATCTCGCAAAGAAGGTGCAGGTCGCCGCCTCGGAGCCGGGCAGATCCATCAGGCTTCTTTTTTGGATCTAGGTCTCCGAATAAGCACGCACACTTGAACAAATAAGGCTCGAGATATAGCATCATCTCTGCTACGCAAGCAGATGAATAATCCCGGGAAAAGGCAGTGGGCGGATGCTTAGGGAATTGGAGAAAAAAGACTGCTACTTCGGGACACACCCAGATCGATGACGGCAAAACTGGGAGTCGCCCATAGGGCTTCTGTGGGATACGACGGATTCTTCTGCTTCTGCACTTTTCCCACCGACCAGAAAGTGGTGACAAGCGCAATTGTAGCCGTTAGGTACCGCCATTGAGCTGGGGAGGCCCATGTCGGAGAAAAAGGCAACCATTTGGGCCGATGTTTGGGCGAGCCCGCCGTGCCTCAAGGTTCAAATAATGGCTCGTCGTTTGAATGTCATGTTGGACTGGTGATACACGGCTGTACCACTACACCAAAGAGAATTGCTTCAAATGACCAAAAACTGCGGATCGATGTGCAAGCTAGCTGTTGAGAGCTAGATCATCTGGTCCGCCCCATCCATTGCCGCCAATGCCGCTGGTCAACCAGTGGGCCATTGATGATGATGCGACGTAATGAAGTCAGCGTGGGCCAGTCTGCAGTGGTGATTGCCAGACTCGGGCATGCTAGTTGAGTCTTAATGGGCATTTTTGCACCCATGGGAATATCGAGTGAATCAGAGATCGTTTTGTTTTGGGTAATAAGCGACGCTGAAACACTGGGCGAATGTGAAGGCAAGCCACAATCACAGCCGTTTTCGGCTATTGTCCAGGGTTGCCGAGGGCTGCACCATCGTGGACAGAGCAATGCTGGATGGTAAATGCAAGATTCCACACTCTTTGCCGACGTGTCCGTGAAAAGTGGCGATTAACAACATAAAGGAATACGGGTTTGCTGGGAATAAGAACGGACGGCGCAAGAAAATGTGGGTGATCGCTGAACGAGGAGCTGAAGGTTCGAGGGCTTCGCGACGATAGAGTAGAAGTTATTCTGTGGTCAAGGCCATCCATCCGGTTTATTGTTTTCTGCCCAGTGTTGCTTCGTTCCCAGATCTTGACTCTTTCCCCTGTGTTCTATTGCAGACCTACGGTACGCGTACCTTTCCACACGCCATCATCCCTAGGGTCATTGGGGCTATTAGACAACACGTATCTTATCAAAGCAAAATGGCCGAGCTTGCAATGCGCTCACCTAGTCGTGCTGATCGACTGGAGAAGTTCAGGCTTTTGTTCCTGTTCCTCAATCCCCAAAGAATGTGGTGTTTCTAGATAATGACTGTGCACTTTGTCAAAATCAATGGCATGGGCTATCGGGAGTGACAAGCAAGCTGATGGGTTCGTGGGCATTGGCAGGGTGGGTCTGACTGGCACAGAAGCCTTTTAGTGCACAGGCGAAGAATCGCTGGACCTGCCTTGCCGCCTAAAGTCGAGCTCCTGTCATTGGGCGAAAGAGCTTGCAATGATTGGGGGGGACCTGCCCTAGCCCGGAGGGAACCCTCGCTGCGAGCAGTGGTAGCGCAGCGGCCAAAACGCCTCGCTCGGTGGAAGGTTTTTTTCTCAGGACCTCACCAACCATGGCAGTCCCCACCCACCATCCTGCCCCCCGGCCTTACCAGCAAAGCCCGCTAAACTCGCGGTCTGCGTGAAAAAATTTTGACCAAACGCGTATTTTCCAGTACCCAAAACAAGTCCCTGTTACCGTCACACACGCCCCAAGTCACTTCTTTTTCCTTATCAAATGGCTCACGCGGCATGCTCGCTGACCTCAAGCTTAAGGAAAGCTTAAGCAGCCAACCAAATCGCTGTCCCAAAGACCTTGCTCGAGCTATCGCGGCTCTACGGCCTGATGGGTTGCTAGTGGAGCCCAGTTCCCTGCCCTCTTGTTGAGAGAATCTCCAGTCAATGTTCGCGAGAAAAGGTGAGCTGCTCTTTGGCTCTCGCTGCTCGCATGTCGTGAACGCTCTTTACTTTAAAGAGGGGTTGTACGCTGCAAGTTCCAAAATCTTTCTCTCTTTCCCTTCAGCTTGGTCTCTACGCCCGACCTTGTTGTCGTCGTCGTCCTTTTTTTTTTCTTGTTTTGTTTTCCTTTCCTGCATCCTAACCTCTCCACTCCCCAACAGTGAACCATGGCGGAAAAGGATCTCGAGAACGGCGACCCAAAGCGCGAAAGGATCTCTTTCGCCGACGGCTGGGATCCCGATAAAGATGAGGGCGAATATGCCAACCTCATTCGATACATCTCCACCTACCGCGACCGTCGATTCTCTAAAGCTCCTTCTCAAGTCTCTGGTGAAGATGTTGCCGATGCCACAGCGAAGAAAAAGGCGCCCTGGTACAAGAAAATATTTGGCGTCGGCGCCGGAATTGGCGATCTGTATGAGGTTCCAGAAGAATGGCTCAACACCGACATCAAGGCAGGTTTGACCTCTCCTGAGGTCGAGGCCAGAAGAAAGAAGTGCGGATACAACGAACTCGTCACCGAGAAGGAGAACATGTTCCTGAAGTTTATAGGCTACTTTCGAGGCCCCATTCTCTACGGTATGTTCTCCTCCCCATTCAATGCGCGTCCAAGATAACAGGATGCTAATGAAGTACAGTCATGGAACTTGCTGTCGTCCTCGCTGCTGGTCTGCGTGACTGGATCGACTTTGGTGTCATCATTGGTATTTTGATGCTGAACGCTATTGTCGGTTGGTACCAAGAAAAGCAAGCTGCCGATGTCGTCGCCAGTTTGAAGGGTGACATTGCCATGAAGGCGGAGGTTATTCGTGACGGAACCGCTCAAGAGATCAAAGCTCGTGAGATTGTTCCTGGTGACATTGTAAGCTTTCCTCCCCCTGTCTTGTCACTTCAAGATCTAACGTACTGGCCCAGCTCATCCTCGAAGAAGGCTCCGTCGTTGCCGGTGAATGCCGCTTGATCTGCGCCTTCGACAACCCGGCCGGTTTCGAGGAGTACAAGGAGATGGTCAATGATCCCGAGGGCTACCATTCGAAGAACCACACCGACTCGGACGACGATGAAGAGCACCACGTCGGCACCTCTATTGTCGCCACCGATCAGTCCGCCATCACTGGAGAATCTTTGGCCGTCGACAAATATATGGGTGATATTTGCTACTACACCACGGGTTGTAAGCGAGGCAAAGCCTACGCTGTCGTCACGGAATCCGCGCGTGGCTCTTTCGTCGGCAAGACTGCGTCTCTCGTCCAAGGCGCTGCCGACTCTGGTCATTTCAAGGCCATCATGGACTCCATTGGTACTTCTTTGCTCGTCTTGGTCGTCTTCTTCATCCTTGCTGCCTGGATCGGTGGTTTCTTCCACAATATCCCCATTGCCACTCCTAAGGAGAGTTCTATCAACTTGCTCCATTATGCACTCATTCTCCTGATCATTGGCGTCCCAGTCGGTCTGCCTGTTGTCACCACCACCACTTTGGCCGTTGGTGCCGCCTATCTCGCCAAACAGAAGGCTATCGTCCAAAAATTGACTGCCATTGAGTCTTTGGCCGTAAGTGATCTGCGATTCGACTTTGAACCGAGTGGAAACTGACCTAACCAAGGGTGTCGACGTTCTCTGCTCTGACAAGACTGGTACTTTGACTGCCAACCAGTTGACCATCCGTGAGCCTTATGTCGCCGAGGGTGAAGATGTCAATTGGATGATGGCTTGCGCAGCACTCGCCTCGTCTCACAACTTGAAGGCTCTTGACCCCATCGACAAGATCACCATTTTGACCCTCAAGAGGTATCCCAAGGCGCGTGAGATCCTGCAACAAGGCTGGAAGACTGAGAAATTCACTCCGTTCGACCCGGTCTCTAAGCGTATCACCACTGTCTGCACGCTCAAGGGCGAGAAATGGTCTTTCTGCAAGGGTGCACCCAAGGCTGTCCTTGCCATCGCGGAGTGCGATGAAGCGACCGCCAAACACTACCGTGACACCGCTGCCGACTTTGCCCGCCGTGGTTTCCGATCTCTCGGTGTGGCGTCCAAGCGTGGTGATGAGCCGTGGAAGGTCATTGGCATGTTGCCCATGTTTGACCCTCCCCGTGAGGATACCGCTCACACCATCTTGGAAGCGCAAAACCTTGGTCTTAGCGTCAAGATGTTGACTGGTGATGCCATTGCCATTGCCAAGGAAACCTGCAAACTGCTTGCCCTGGGTACCAAGGTCTACAACTCCCAACGTCTCATTGCTGGTGGTGTGGCAGGTGCTACTCAGTACGATCTCGTTGAGAAGGCCGATGGTTTCGCTGAAGTCTTCCCCGAGCACAAGTATCAGGTCGTCGAGATGCTGCAACAACGTGGTCACTTGACTGCGATGACTGGTGACGGTGTCAACGATGCTCCATCTTTGAAGAAATCCGACTGTGGTATCGCCGTCGAGGGCGCTACTGAAGCTGCTCAAGCCGCCGCCGACATTGTCTTCTTGGCTCCCGGTCTCAGCACCATCGTCGATGCTATCAAGGTTGCTCGTCAGATTTTCCAACGTATGAAGGCATACGTGCAATACCGGATTGCTCTTTGTTTGCACTTGGAAGTCTACCTGACCACCTCCATGATCATCATCAACGAGACCATCCGCACCGATTTGATCGTCTTCTTGGCCTTATTCGCCGATCTTGCCACCATTGCAGTCGCCTACGACAACGCTCACTACGAACAACGACCCGTCGAATGGCAATTGCCCAAGATTTGGGTCATCTCAGTCTTCCTTGGTTTCCTCCTGGCCATTTCCACCTGGATCATGCGTGGCTCTTTCTACCTGCCATCTGGTGGTTTGGTTCAAAACTTCGGTAACGTCCAACTCATGCTTTTCCTGCAGGTCTCACTGGTGGAGAACTGGCTTATCTTTGTCACTCGTGGTGGACAGACTTGGCCGTCCTGGAAACTGGTTGGTGCCATCTTCCTTGTCGATGTCATCTCCACACTTTTCTGTGTCTTCGGTTGGCTTTCTGGCTCCCCAGACCAATTCTTCACCACACCTCAGGATGCCTTCTCCCGAGACCACTACAGCGTCGAGACATCAGTCGTCACTGTCGTTGTTATCTGGGGCTACTCCATCGGTGTTACAATCGTTGTCGCCATTGTTTACTTCGTCCTTACTAGCATGTCCTGGATTGACAACCTTGGCCGTGCTACTCGCAGCCGCGCCGACACCAACATGGAGAACATTCTTGGACATCTCAGCCGCGTTGCTCTTGAGCACGAGACTGACGTCCACGGCAAGTCCAAATGGGTCCTTGGCAGCAAGGCCACTGGAGAGGAGGAAGAAGAGTAAAAGAGAAAAAGATATGGGAGATTCTTTGCGTCAGGCACTAGATGGAGAGGGTAGTGCCGAAAGCAAAATCTTCTCGTTATTTCATAATCTGGCTCTAATGGGTTTACAAGCCACAATCGGAAGAATAGGCTGTGGTGAAAATGAGACTTCCACAACAAATACCATGTGTGTATTTTGTCCACAGCAGAGGAACAGAAAAAAAAAATTCCATTAGAAAAACCACAAAGGGGCACTCTCGACTTCGTGTCACAAATCCGCTGTTGCGTTTCTACGCCAGCCGAATTACTCGTGCAGCTTGTTAGACCATTTTTGCTTGAGCTCAGAATCTGAAATTAGTAGTCATCACTTTACCTTAGTCAAAGAGTCCAGACGCAATGCAAATCGCAATATGTACTCAGTGACACAAATCTCACGTACATCATTCTTAGCTCATGCGAGTTCTGCAGGTCGCTTATTTGCTTGCGCGGATATCGAATTCCATTTTGGAGATTTGATTTGCAAATGATGAGATTGGTCCCGAATCGACTACGCCTCTTTGCCCTATTTACTACCCAACCTCATGGATAATATATGGGCTTGTGAAGAACAAAACTGCGGACAGCCTTGGACCCCAAGGTATATAGTAAGCTCAGCCTTTGTCGTGAGGGATGAACGTCAGAGCCTTATCTTGGACTAATTAGGCAAATAGAAGCGGCAAGATCAGAGCCAGCATAATTCTCAGTCTCCTTACTCCTTTTTAGCACCCTCGTTTCATATATACGTATGGCCTGTGTTCGTATAATGTTGGTGTAAAGATTCGGACACTCAGCCTTGTCGGGTTGCATATGCGCTTTGTTACGCTAAGGAATTCTCATAAGTCTGGCCGCTTTTCTCTCCCCCACCCAATAAAGGGACTCTGTGGGCTTCTTGCGGCATTGCCAGTGATGCGGAAAATCTCGAAAGGCCAGTATGTTGGCTTGGGAAATCAGCACACGGGCCATTGGTCATCATGGCATCATTAGGAACAGATAAGCAGAGAAATGTCAACATCAGCGTCAGCGGAAGTGCTCCAGATTTGACAATATGTTTCTGACAAGCAATTGGGTGTCTTATCCATCAGCTTCTCGTTTCGCACGTACGTATAGGCGACGGGAGGCGAGTACCATGGAACGATAATGGACGCGGAGGAACAATAATATCACTGATCGAGGTACGTCCGTGCCTGGACCGGCCTTTCCTTCACAACTCTACTTGTAAAAGTTAGCAGGGCAGTTAGGTAAATAACACCAGTGAGGTCGATCACCTCTGTCAAGACTCGTTTGGCTATCTTTCGCGGCCTCGTGAGCGTCCCATAGCTTTGGTCTTGTCTGGGAGATCATGATTCCATTCGATATTGAGAAGCTGCACACTGGTGTGAGATGTGAATACTGTTCTTCGTTATCAAAGCCAAAATATTTCAAGTCTTAGAGTGAGAAGCTGAGCGTTCTTGTGTATAGTATGCAAAGAGACACCAGTAGATATGCTTCCTGCATTTACGAGAAAAACAAGGTTGACTTTTTGTCGCCAATGCTCCTTTTCACTGGGCGCGTTGACGTTGTGTATTGGATATGCTCTTTTCGACAGGAAATGCAGTTGCCTAGTGTGCAAGAACTGTCGATTCTCGTACAGAACTCGAAAGCCTCTGGTTCAAATCTTGGATTCGGAATGATGGTTTCTTTTTCTTTTTAATTTTGTTTTTTGGTCTTTGGTATTATTGTCTCGTCTGAGTTTGTAAGCACGGTCTTCTTGGGGATCGAGGGTTTTGGAATATTCTGGACCATCCTCATGTAGGCGTTCGCTGGGAGTTCGGCACCGGTGCGAGTATTTTGGGAAGCGCAAGACATGCATCGTTTTCGAAGCAAGCAGGATGTGCAAGAGGAGACAGGAAGAGATCATGTTCTCGGTCATCAGGTTGCCGCGACGCAGGCGTTGAACATCGCGAGGGACACTGTAGACAACAGGAAGAGAGCATGGTCGCAGGAGTTTGAAAATTTTCTGCAGCTTTATGATAAGAGAGCTCAACCTTCAATGATTCACAAGAATACAGAGCCACTAAAGAAACAACAGACTTATCTTTCAGAGGAAGAATTTCCGTCTCCTTTCCAAATTGAGATCGCGATCCTCTTCGAACCAGCACTCAGCTCAGTTCCCATGTCCATACCTCCTCGTGTCCTAAAGAACCATTCATCGAGACGCGTTCTTTGGGATTCCAGTCTATCGTGAGGATAGATCAGACACTTTCTGATTAGAGGTCTCCTGCAACATAGCATCACAGAACAGCCTGAGGTACTGGATCGTGAGCGTATTCCTGTTTGGCAGCATGCGACTGCTCGAAGCTGAGAGAATGGCAATACTGGTCAAGAAAGAGGCCTTGTTAAGGTGGACGTTTCAAAAAGGGTCATCAAGTAGAAGGAGCAAAACAGCACAACGTGGAGGCCACACATTCAGGAGCATCCCATGGTCCGTCCAAAGGACAAAAGCAGCAGAAGTGCATTAAGTTGCCGAGGGTTACACAAGAAGGATCTGTCAATTAGGTCATATGCCTAAAGGGGGCTGCGGCCAATTTCCCTGAGGCGTGGAAAAGACGCAGAAATATTTCACCCCCAGATTCTGGCTCATGTTTAGGCAGTACCCTTGTGAGCACCTTCAAGGGAAACATTGGGGGGAGATCTGGAGACCTCCAAAGGTGCTTGGTGCGGTATCAAATCACTTTTGGCCTTGCATAGCCATGCTTGATAACCAAACAAATTTCCTTGACGGCCACATTCAAGCCTTTAGCTGCCTGTGATAACCAGGCCGAGAGAGGGAAACTTTGACTGACGACCTAGGTGGATATTAGAATCGAACACCGAAGGACTTCGTTGTTGAGAACTATTCAGGCGAACGCGATGTCAATGTCCTGGGGGGATGCGTCGAGATGTTGTTACACGACAGGAAATTTGCCCTATCAAACTCTCATGGCCACCGACTTGCGGTTCGAGACAGCCATCTGACACAATGACAGGCCACCTTAACCTGACCATGCGGCGTCCTCTAACTGGAAGGGTCACGTCAAAGAGAGAATCTGAGAGGAGCGTATTCGCGTTGACCATATTCCACGGAGCAGCCTTCCTTGCACATGTAGCCGAACGGGCATACCTGGCCTCTCTGCTCACCGGTTTGGAGGTCTGAAGCAACTGGTCTTTTAAGGGTTAGTTCGTACAGCCATTCTGGGATCGGAGGAATGCATGGCTGCCTTCCATGGGTTCCGGTGAAATCGGAGGCTCAAGTTGTCCAATAACATGAATCCGGGACCTGTGTGCTGGGCGAGCATCTCAAACGAAGAGGTAATACTGACAGTCCCTCAACGTGGCCTCCGTCCAGACCTACCTGGCCCGGGAGGCACTCTAGGCGCTCAGCCACCTGCGACCTTTATGCGGCCCGTCGGTTTTTCCCCACATCCTGTAGCAACAGATATGAATTACAGTTTAACCTTCAAGCAAATGGCTTGGAATATTCTCGGTTTTCCAGTATAGCGCGCGTCGTGAAATGAGAAAGGGGTCGTCGTGTTGTTTTGGGGGGGAGGTTAGCTGGCCCCAGATTTTGGCTGGCAATTGGAATGCTCACGCATAGTAAATGTTGATTATTAGCGCGTCCATTGCTCTACTCTTAGGGCTCCCCTATCGACCTGGACAAGGAATTTGATCATCGGTGACAAAATGATCGCGATGACAGTTTCTAGAATGCATCCGAATTCTTCGACTAGGTTGGGTCAATTTGATGATATCTCAGACGTGGGTTTAGAACGAGAGGATAGAAAATGGTCACTGTTGATGTGCCGGGCTGTGATTAGTGCTGCTGCAGAAACTCGTTCGTTCCAATGGGGTCTCCCTGTAGATCTTGTACAGCGGGAAGTGGTGATTGCTTCCGCAATAGCTGATTTGTATGAGTCAATGATGTAGCTTTCATTTCACGAGCCCCGTTACTCCTCGAGTCGGGATCAGCAAGCTGCAAGTCTTGGGTCATATCTGAAAATCAAGTCGTAACAGCCAGGAGATCTCTTTCAAGGTGCGAAGTCTCAAACCGGTGGTGAGTTCTTCCGGCCACGTTGTTCCCAGCTGGACCCGTCTCTTTCCATCTTGACAAGGACGGCCCATAGAGGTGGTCGAGCTGCATTAGTGTGCTTCTTGATGAATATCCCTCTCCTACACCCCTTTTCTTGGGCTCACATTTACGTGGCAGTCGTTATCACTCAACACCAAAGAGCGGTGAACATAATTGTATTCTTTGGGATATCCGATCGGAGCACTTCATTGCATGATTGAAATTGATGTGCTGGATGTCGTTGAGTTGGTTCCTGGGTGGCATGTTTGCCACTTTTGTCCTTGCTATGCTTCTGTTTTGACGGCTATCCAGCCAGGGGTACTATCCTCATCGTCGTTGTTAGAAAAGAACGTCTCCGCTTACCATAGGCGCTGTCTTTGGAATTTCTTGTCTGCTGGTCTATAGCGGATGTGTAACTTCCTTCAAACTCGAGAGATCCGTGTGGCTCTTTGAATGATAATAGCGACCTGAAGCTTCGAATCTTCTCTCCAGCCTTTTTTTTTTTTTTAAAAAAAAGAAAACACATCACAGCGGAGCTTTATTTACTCAACAATCGGAATTCATTCTGAATTCAGTGTCATGGCAGAGCGTGACTCAAACGCAGGAAGGGCTGGATTGAAGGAAGTCTCGGCGGTTGCCAACGTGACAGATGATGGAAACGATGAAGAATGGTCGACCGGTATATGAGAAGCTCCTCCTCTATCTTCGAAGCTGACAGAGCAATTGTAGCAAACTCAGAATCTGCTAGGACCAATCCGGGCAGTGTCGATGACGAGCAGTCTCAGGCCGACAAATCTAGCGACCCAGGTGGCGATGAGGCTGGTATTCCTGTCAGCGACGCTCTAGCTGGAGATGACCATTTATACCAATCCTACCCTGCTACGATGACCACGCCAGCGACCATTGAAGACCTGGGAGAGGAGGATTTGCAAACGTCTTTTGAAACGCAGACCGAGGTCGATCCAACCCAAAACCAGACCAACCAGACCAACCAGACAGCCGAGTCCCAAGAAACACCAGAGTTAACTGACAACCGTGAAAAGACAGCCAAACGAAAGGCATCAGGAAACATAGACACCAGGGCATGGAAGAAGGGTAAAGATGATGAGGAGAGCCCGTCAAAAGGGCCGCCTCAAGATCGGTCCTGAAAGACAGTCAGTTTCAGTTTATCATGTTGTGTACAGTCGGCAACGGATTGAAAGCCAAAAATCAGAGAGAAGATACATTCAACAGTGTGGTCGGTTAACGCTGAGAGCGATCATCAAGTCGGACCGAGACTGCTCCTGGCACCACTTCAGGCTAAGGATGATACAAGAATTCATCATGGAAAGCGTAAACAGACCAAGGAACATCTTACATTTCACGAAAGTTGAGATTTGACGCCGTGTGCAGTCCAGGAGAAGTCAAGTCTCATGTTGGTGATTCGGAACAGGTCTTAATAGGGTATTGGAACTCGTCGTTGATTTCACGCTCTGGGTAGTGTTGGCCATATGAATTTCTCCGCAATCGGTTTCCCTTTTACCTCCTGGTGTGGCGGATCATCATATGTTAACGTGTTGATGTCGGCTCGACCTGCGTCTGGATCGTCTTGGAATCGCCGTTTTCTTTCCTTCGGCGGCGCATGGGTGTCTGAGCCATGTTCTTGCCGTCTCTTTTGCCGGTTCTCTTTCTCTTTTGCAGCCCTTCTTCCGCTCAGAAGTCGTTGGATTTCGGAATGGCGGAACATCTTGACTTGTTCGTCCGTCAGCGTCCTCTTGACCCCGTCTTCGTAGTATCCTAATCCGTCATCAGTGTCGCTGGGAGGGTTTTGTTTGCGATCCGCCTCCGCCGTAGCTTCCCGTGGTGTGTTGACTAAATCTGGGGTGACTTGGTTGGGGAAGTGCAGAGCGTGGAAACGGACGAGTTTGTCCATCTCGGTGTGCTGAATCATGATCATAAGCGGCGAACGAGAAAAGGCCACCGCTGACATGTTTTGGAATTCCACCGGGCAAGGTGCCTACGCGCCCATGGGCATGCCTCCGAGGCAATTACTTGATCGAGAACTCGGGTTCAAGGTATTAATGAACAGCAGTATTTGAGAAACCAGACACCGTCACAGGATGACAAAGCGTCGCCGCCAAGGCGCTGGCAGTCTACCAAAGGCAATACAGGGTAGGTGGCGGCTTGATCAGTAAACGTCGAAAGCAAGCTCGAAATCAGATAATTCGAGTCATCATGCTCTGACGTCCGTGTCCCGATTGGCTGGTCTCCCGCTCTCATCGAATACGATCTCGGAATTGCGCACGACGTGCTCCAAAATGTCAACAAGGAGACTTCATAAGTCAGTCTAATTGTATCGGGCCACCATTGACTTGATGGGGACGATGGAAACAATGGAACTAGTTGATTTACAGGATATAAAGACCATCTCCGTTGTCCTTCTCTCTCGCTCACTGCTGCTTCATAGAAGAAACGAAGGCTGAGATAATCTCATACAGTTATCTCTTGAAATTTGTCAAAATGGCTGGTGAACTTATACTCTTGACCGGTGGAACAGGGCATCTTGGTTACCGTACCCTCATCGAGGCTTTGTCGAAAGGCTACAGGGTTCGAGCTGCCGTTCGATCGGAAGGAAAGATTTCTGAACTCAAGGCTGCGAAGTCCTCCCAGCCATACCTTGATCGACTGTCATTCATCACCGTCCCAGATGTCGAGAAAGAGGGCGCTTTCGATGAAGCCGTTAAGGGCGTTGACTATATCGTGCATGTCGCATCCCCCCTTGCACGCCCTTCCGACGATGACGAGGCCAACATCATTCAGCCAGCAGTCCGGGGAACTTTGAGTGTTTTGTATTCTGCGCTTAAAGAGCCTTCTATCAAGCGAGTTGTCATCACCTCATCGGTTGCGGCAGTTATGCCCTCAGATCCAAGCAATGCAAAGGTATTCACGGCCGACAATGTTGAGCCGGACCCACACGGGCCATATCCCAGCGCGTTTGTTGCTTACGGTGCCAGCAAGAAGCTTGCGTACAATCGTACCCGAGACTTCATTGCCAAGGAGAGGCCTAAGTTTACTATTATCAATGTTATGCCCACCTTCGTCATTGGCAAGAACGAGCTGGCCACCACTCCAGAGGCGGTCAGATCTGGTTCAAACAATCTCGCGTTCATTAACCTCATGGGTGGCAAGAACCCTGATGGACTGCTGGCGATGGTGTGTCATGTCGATGATGTCGCCTATGTTCATGTCGCTTCGCTGGACCCTAAGATTGAGGGAAATCGGAACTTCGGGATCAATTGGCGTGGGGGGAGAGAATTTGCCTGGGACGATGCCATTGACATTGTCAAGAAGCACTTCCCCAAGGAGGTGGAGAAAGGTGTGTTTCCACTGGGTGGTTCTGTGAAGTCAATCCCGGTGCCTTTCGATGCTAGCAAGACCGAGGAGGTGTTTGGCATCAAGTTTAAAGATTTTGAGGAACAGATTGTGAACCTCGCTGGTTATTACGCCGAAGTTGTGGCAAAAGCGTGAGGCTTGCCGCGGAGGTTATTGATAGGAGGTTGCAAGCAATGCGGCATATGGTCGTAGAGGGTCAACCCCGTAGTTTGGCGTGGGAAATGAATACCAGAAAACTGGACCAGCTCGAAATACATAAATACCGCCAACTTAGAGGAATCATTTTCCCAGGTTGCCTTTGTCACGCACAAAGCGCTATTGAACATGGATTGGAATGATGGATGAGGCTGAGGACTTGGTGGGTCGCGGATATCCCTTCTCTTAACCCAATGATTATTCTGGCGAATTTTCTTCTTCTTTTCCTTGAGATACCCATGAGAAACTGACTCTGGTCTAACATATGGCTGCAGGGTTCCGATCGTATAAGTCGATTGCAGTCCAGGACTTTTGACGATCCAGGTCGTGACGCGACAAATCTCCAATTCTGACATCACTCATCAAATCCGGGCTACACATTTGCCAACCAGCCTGCACTCAGTCCTCGTCCATTCTTGTCGTGCATAGACTGATTCACTGCGTGGTTTATGTTTCAACAGTCTACCTTCGAAAACTGCCGCAAGCTCCAATGAGTCCCGATTCGGGAACGGGCGAAATCAAAATGTCTGCCGCCTCTCGCGCCATGCTGGGCAAAGTGGGCAAAATCGTCCCTCCCATGCTTGAGAAATTCCACAAGGGACAGCTGGGCCGAGTTGCTGTCATCGGCGGCAGTGCCGACTATACGGGCGCACCGTACTTCTCAGCCATGGCTTCTGCTCGACTGGGCTGTGATTTATCTTACGTCTTTTGTGAACCGTCGGCCGCGCAGACCATCAAATCATATTCACCGAATTTGATGGTATCCCCGATCCTCAAGTCCACTGCCTCGATAACCCCAACGCAGAAAGAGCCGTCTGGTGAAGAGCTGGCAAGACCCATATTGGACATGCTTCCACGGCTGCATGTACTCGTCATTGGGCCTGGACTGGGGAGAGACGTGATCACTCAGAAACAGGTCAAGGCCGTCATTTCGGAAGCAAGGAAACAAGACCCCCCCGTGCCGATGGTATTAGATGCCGACGCCCTCTGGCTCATCCAGACGGATCCGGACATAATCAAAGGCCACAAGGAGTGCATACTCACGCCCAATGTAGTGGAATTTGGCCGACTGGCGAAATCGGTCGGTATGGATCTCAACAAGGGAGATCCGGAGATGGCATGCCAGGAGCTCTCCAAGATCTTAGGTGGAGTCTGCATCATCCAAAAAGGGGCAGTAGATTACATTTCGCAAGGCGTACAGACCACCATTTCGGATATCCAAGGAGGCTTGAAACGGTCAGGCGGCCAGGGAGATACCTTGACAGGCTCTTTGGGTACTTTCCTCGCTTGGCGCGAGGCATACCATCAAGGCCTGTGGGAAGTGGGTGACGAGAAGATGAGTCGAGAGGAGACGTTGTTGTTGGCTGCATTCGGCGGAAGCGCTATTACGAGAGAATGCTCTCGACGGGCTTTCGCGAAGAGGCAGAGGAGTTTGCAGGCGGGTGATCTCACGGAGGAAGTGCATAATTCATTCCTTGCGCTTATCGGAGAGCCGGAGCAGCCGCCCAAACAAAATTTGTGAGGGCTTGTTACTCTCACTCTGATAAATCGGTGTTGAGCACATGGTAAGTGTTATGGTAGAGTACAAAGCATATCCGAATGATAACAGGACGCAAAACCTGCACCAAGAACGAGCTCTGGTTCACTTCCATTATTTGATTTTGTTGTTGTGGACTTCATCCATATGTACAATGCCACAGCCATGCTCCCGATAATGGCAACCGCTCAATCATAAACCGAATGCCCATTGTTTTTCTTTAATCTTTGTCGTCTCTCCTCTTCCGCTCTGACATTCCTCTCTTCGTAAAACTTCGCCAATGCAGTCAGATCTGCAGTACCCTGCCCAGCTGAGACGTTCCAGGGTGAGCCAAAATTGAATGACCTGGGACGCTAAGTAAGTAAATGGGCAGACGGAGAATGAGACATGTATCGTATTGCTCACTCTTGATTCCGGAATGGAGGAACTGTTTCGTTCCCTGCGCTTGAAGCAAAAAGCTGTCGGTCGGCTGCTACCTGCTCCATCATGGCCGTATGAATAACATTTGCCCTCTTGTCGGCTTCCACACTTGCTTCATATTTCTTCACCAGACGAGACGCAAAGTTATCACCGGGAGAGCTTGCGATCGAATACACGAGTATCGCAAAAGGTATGGAGGCTACGCTGAGGTAGAAACCGGCCTGTACAAAAGGTCAACTCTTTTGAACTTCGGTGCCCCTGAAAAATCGAACACACCCCAAAGGATTCGTTTCCTGACCCGCCTTGAACATGAAAGGCGCTCTCCCCATGATGTGCTTCGCCGTGGCCGTGGCCAGCTTCGTGACCGGCGTATCTGCGCGCTTGATGTTGAATTAACCGGCTCAAGGGGCGAGCTGCAGCTTCCACCCTTCTTGAGACAAACGACATGGCTGTAGTGGCTGCAGGAAGTACGTTCGTCGAACACGACTACGATGCTGGTCCAGCATTTGACGTCCCGAGGAGTTTCCAAGCTGACAAGGTGCCAAGTGGCACTAACACCTTTTGAGACTATTTTCGGAAGGCGGGTTTTCATTCGGTGAGTCAGACGCACCTTAACTGCACCTATTTTTTGCCTGGAGAGACGTGTGTCAGACTTTGCCTTTGAAAAGGGTCTTTAATCCGCCAATGATTCGTGAACACGACCAAGTTTTACTGACATGATGTCCTTCCAATCTCCAGTCTTGCCACCGGTGATGAAAACACATGGTTCATGCAGCCCATGCCAGTGTTTGCTTATGTGGAGTGCTCGAGATGATCAGACCTGGCCCTGATCGGGCAGCAAAGCGCGGCCTCGAGGGGCCCGAGGCCAGTCGCCAAAAACTGGCACTTCTTTGCCCTTGACTGATCAGGCTTCAACATCACAAGGGTTTATAGCTCTTCGCCCTGTTTTTCTGTTTTCTGCTTCCCCCTCTTCTTCTTTACTCCATTTCCCTCGTCTTTGAATCTTGATCTGTATCACTAATGTTTGAGTATCAGCAAATCCGCGATCGAAAAGTAGGAGTGTTGTACAATCCTGTGCAGTGCGAATTTCCACACCACGGCGAACTTGCGATTCCCAGTTTGTGACACCTCTGCAGATCAGTTTTCTCATTTTCTTGACTCATGTTCCAAACACGATGTCGTTTTCGGCGTATCAGACAAATGCAAAACCTAGGGGACGACGTGGCAGCCATGGGGAGGCATATGAGAGGCAGGATCGCAGCAGAGCCTCGAGTTCTGCTTCGATGAAACTGTCGAAAACGTTATCAAGAACTCTCGATGAGGTCTCAGTTCCAAGAAATAGCCGGCCGAGTTCACCAGCCGTCTACATTCACCGCCAACGGGCACTGGACCTCAAGTCGCCCGACCGGAGCAAAGCTTCATCCCGGCATTCCGCAAGCGCTCTCAGATCCGACAGGATTGCCCCCTCAAAATTGGAGGATGGCGCAATCCAAGTGCCAGAATTGCTGGCTGAAGCGAAGCCATGCATCAATCAATCGGAGGATGGAAATCACCCGTCCGACAGTACCATAACGGGCACAGGCCCTGCTTCGTCCTCACAGACTCCCACACCCGCACCGAACAAAGCCATTGAGCCCGACGTTGGAGTCACAGAGTCGCAACAGCCTTCTCAAAGTCTTGGTCGTGAAACACAATCATCCAGATCCTTAGCATCAATGCCACTAACAGTTGCCGAAGAGTCTGACAAAAATATTGATACTCTACCAGTTGCTGTGTCGCCAAAACCGTCTGTGTCTTCTCCTCGTTCCGCTGCCGCAATAATGTCATCCGCCAGAGCATCGAAATCTTCCCTCCATGAAGACGGGGTCCTGTCATCGCCTAGAACTTCGAAATCTTCCCTACCCGATCTTATTTCTGTTCCAGAAACTAGGATGTCTGTGTCTTCTTTACACGACTCGCTAGTGGCACCCTTTCCCAAAGCTTCGGTAACCTTTCTTCAGCCTTCCATCATCCCACATCTACCCGAATCAGGAGAAGCAGAAGTGCCAGCTCCTGTCATGTCGAGTCCTGCGTCAGGAGCGGATGGGAGAGATCCTCCTGACTTCCCTCCCAAAGCGCGTTCCCCACTAGCGTCGCCACCCCAGTCACCCATGCTTCATCAATACGTGGGCAGTCCTCCACCCCAACAGCCAGCTCCATACCCGTATCCATACCCCCCGTCTTTTATTGGCAGCCCGCCCTTCCAGCCTGGATTTTACCCCACTCCATTCACGTCCCCCACTGCGCCCTTTATTCAATCTGAGATGGTCCCCAGAGCGGGCTCTGCAGGGGCCGAGGACGAACGAGCGCGATTGCTAGAGAAAGTGTCTAATGTTCTTCCCGACATCAATCGACTGTTGCAATACTATCAAGAAACCCAGGGCCTTCTCTCGGAGAAGGATCATTTGGTCAAACAAGCCGAGTCGCAACACGAAGAAGAGATCAGCAAATTACGGATTGAGTTGAGTGTGACCAAGGAGGAGTATGAGAAAATCATAGGCGAGCAAGCCGGCGAAAATGTCAAGCTCAAAGGGGAGGTCGCGGACCTTGCCGAGAAGCTCTCGCTCTCGGAGGAGCTTTCGCGGGGGTCGGCGAGTATGGAGGAGGATCTGGCCAACTTGCGGCTAAAGTACAAGTTCCTCGAAGACGACATCGAGACTCGGGAATCGCACAACGATCAGCTTCTGACGGAAAAGCAGGCGCTAGAAGCCCAACTCGGGGAAATCAAGAAACAGCTGACGGATGATCGAGCGCAGCATGACCGTGTGTTGATGGAATTGAAAGAGGTACACCAGAGACAAATGGCAGAAAAGGAAGACGAACATGCCAGAGCACTTCATGACCAAAAGACCGGTCTGGCGAAGATTCAACTTGACTTGGCAGGTATGATCACAAAGCACACCCAGCAGAAAAAGGACCTAGACTCGGCGCGCGCCCTTATTTCCGAACATGAACATTCTCTCGCAACAAAAACGAAAGAGCTGGCTGATGCGCTGCATCTCCACAAAACTGAATTGGAAGCGAGAACCAAAACTGCTGAAGAGAAAGCCCAACAACATAAGCAGGAGATTTCCGTGTGGTCGCAGCAATTATCCGAGTCGATAGCAAAGTACGAAGCCGAAGTCATCTCGCTCCGTGACTCTCACCAAAAAGAGATTGAACAAGTACAAAAAGCAGGGGAAGAACGGTTGTCGGAGCTGATTGAGGAGCATAAGCGACGTGAAGGGCGGCTTCAGGCAGAACTGGAGGCCTTACGGTCCGAAAATGAAGCATTGGAAGCCGACTTTGTCAAGGAGCGGGATGTTCGGGACAACTTGAAGACCGAGCTTGCAACTGCGCGGGAGGCGCATGAGACTTTGAAAAGCCAGCATGACCAAGTTAACAAGCATCACACCGAATTAGCAGAAGCTATGCTCAGTTTGAAGACCAAGCAAGCGGAATGGCACCAAGAGAGCGAGAGAATGGAACGAATTCTGCAGAGTCTTGGACGCCTTGGTTCAAACAATTTTCAGGGCAAAGGAGACCAGTTCTTGTGAGTTGACTCTGGTCGGTCGGTAGAAGAATGTTCTCATGTTGTTGCAGGCCTCCTCAAAGTACGCCCCACTGACGGTTGCCTCTAGTGTAAGTGCCTTCGATCAGCTGGCGTTGTCGGTGGAAGAAATTTCGAAGCAATTCTTCTACAACAGCGTAACCGGTGTTCTCAACCCCAGAGGCGGATCTCCGTGGATTGGTGTTCCAGATATCATGGGAGCTTCGGAAGCCGCCCGAGGTCTTCGATGCCTCGTGGTCCAAAGCCAGATCTTCTCTGTCTTGAATCGGCGGATATTCCAGCCTTTCCTCTTCACATCGGCCTACGATGAATGCGACTTGGAAGCAAGCTTGTCTTTCGTGTCAAGAATGATCAGGGTCAAGAGCGTGCATCGAGAAGCAGTCTGGAGGACTATTACAATGCGAGCCATATATGCCAGCGCGTACGGACGGAAAGCCACGGGGATCGCCGCAACCTCCGCCTGCCAGGAGATCATGCACAGAATCCAGTCGATGACGGACACCAAGCTCCGGTCAGCATTGCTTCAGGCGGTCCGACTGGTGGCCAAAGCGGCGGTTCAGATATGGCGCCGAGTCCGTCTCGAATGGGACCTCATCTATTCAAACATGCCTTCATCATCGCAGACGGGAGAAACCTATGACCCTTCTGATGTCCTGTTGTGGGTGCGACCACATATTGTGAGGGAAATAGTAACTACCAGTACAGAGGGAGAGGTAGACGGAGATTCTGAACGCCAGAACCCTCCGATCGGTGCTTGCCGCATCTATCTGCAGGGGACGGCGCTCCGTCAAGACTCTCCACTGGTGCTGGCTAGGCGGCAGGAACTTTTGGCCGGAGTTGGGAGGGAATGAAGATGACCCAGGAGTTACAATATAAGGAGCATTTGGTACAGGGCAGTGTGCCTGCATGTGGTGGTATGTGGATTTAGGGTGCGGTTTGTGGAAGTTTGTGGTTCTTGAAAGCCAGCAACAATTGGGTGGAGGACAAATCTGCCACGAGTCTGCCACGGCTAAGGTGACCCATCGGAAGCCAGCATTCACGAGGAATGAAGCGAGTAGAGCGGAGAATATCTGAGGCTCCTTCGGCCTAGCCCAGCTTACCGAAAGACGGAGGACGGATTGCAACGGGAGAGCTGATTGGCCTGTCCGTAAGGCTGATTCCGGGCTGTGCCCCCTTTGAACTCAAAGCAGCATTGACCCCTGGCCAAAGTTCGTGTGGGATGTCTGGATAGGGATCCCGTTGTGGTTCCCTAGTATTATTGTACTGTCCCATTCATTACCTATACCCTACAACAGCACTTCAACGTTTAATGAGCATGTATTAGTAATTCAGGAACATATGCCCGTGTCTTCGGCGATAGTCCGTTACCTATCAATAGCCCCTTACTGCTGATACCCCTCCCAAATCGAAACGTAAGGGAAACCGGTCAATGACTCGAGGGTTATTGTATGGCCGCTTCGCCCCCAATAGGACAGACATCCTGGAAAGCTTTTAGTTGAGGTGGGACGCCGGGAGCTGAGGTCATTATGCAGTATGGACACGACCCGCGGTGGGTGTTCTCCCATCTACACAGCGGCGCGGCTGTGTCCATCTGAAGCTCGAACTCGTGAACTTTACTTTGGCGAGTTTCTGTCCACTGTCCTGCAGCCCACTTTACTGACAGAGGCACTGCACCCGACCGCATCGCACTGCAAATTGCACCGCAATCCGCATTCCCAACAACGTTTCCACCACCACACCACCGCTTTGGCGTCCGGGTCAAGACCTCATCCTTAATCTTCGAATCCGATATCCCGTCACTGATCAAAAGCTACGCGCCATCGCTACGTGTCAAGACCCGACCTCCGATCCCGGTTGGAGCTGCTTCATCGTCTGCTTCATCAGGCTGTCTCCTCGGCGCGGCGCAGTCCTTATCCAAACTCGAGACTTTTTCCCACTCCCTCGCGCTTACACCGTCTCCCTCTTTCCTCACCTCGAATCCGCCCCTCGATCTGCCCTCCAATTGCGCTAGTCCTCCTCGCCAGTCCGAATTGGTACTTGTCCAGCCTCTCTGCAGCCTGCCCTCCATCGAGCGACCAGTCACATCTCCCTCTTCTGTCCAACTTACAACCAGGGCACACCACTCGCTGGTGCCGCGGGGTTCTCGTCTCCTTCTCGACGATTTCCTCCTCCTTTCTAGCGTCTCCGTTGGATTCGACTCACCCTTTCTATTCATATCCTGACACCTCGTGGGGTGATCTATCGGGGGTGATTTATCAAGCCAAAAATCCCCACAAGAATTGACAAACTTTGTGTCCGGCACAACCTGCTGTGGCTCATATTTTTCTTCTCTTGAACAGAAGGTCCGTCCAGGGACGTCGGTTTCAGTCATTCACGCGACCCTTTCCGTCCGCGGGTCTGCTCGCGCTCCATCCTGACACGATCCCACAGCCTCATCATTGGGCGATACACCCGCAGGCCATGCTGCGACGCCCTGATCATCATCTGGCCCCTATCAGATCTTCCCCACTTGAGAGACCAACATAGGAGGAAAACCTTTTCTTTTCTGCTTTCTCCTGCGGCCACGATCTCGAGAGAAACCATGTCGCCCTCCAATACTTTCTCCCTTCATGCTCAGAGACCTGGACAACATTCCCCCTCATTGATCACGCCGAAAGTATACCGCGCGCACAACGCACAGAGCCTTGCAAATAACCCAGCCTATCCCTCTGGGCCTCGAAGCCATCATCACAATGCCAGCATAACGTCAAATCCTTCGCAAACGTCGCAGGGAACCAGGCAATTAGGAGGCGGAGTGGAAGACTTGCCATTGAACCAACTACACACGCAAGCGGCTGTCTCCAGTCCGGGACAATTTCAGCAGCAGTCTGCACATCTATACAACTTCGAAGAAGACACGTCACACCACGAGTCCTCCTTTGATGATTTCTTGACGACAGAATGTTCGTCCGAAAACCATATCAGTGAACATACCACTCCACAGGAACTGATTTGGGAACAACAGTTCGTTTTACAGGATCCCTCCCAACCCCATATACTTGATTCTTTGGCCTCAAACAATTACGGGGGTGCTCAAGGAGTTTTGGGAGGCTCAGATCTGCACGGCCTTTTCCGGGACACCGAAGAGTCTCTCCCGAAGTTTGTTTCTGGAGAAGAGCTGTTGGGCCCGACATCGACCACCTCGTTTCCCCTGCAGACACATACCATCGGTCAGATTCCCAATCAAGACATGGAGTATCCATCCTCATCGACTGCGCCCCACAGGCGCGGGGGATCTCAATCGCTTAAAGTCGATACAACCCCGAATCACACACCATCTCCCAACCACAAAGTTGGAGACTGGCAACGTGCATCTTTAACTATGCGAGCGCCAAGTCCTGTGGTGATGGTCTCCAGTTATGAAACCAGCGGCGCCGAACCTGAGTCCCGGACACAGGTGATACAGAGTTCGGGGAAACGCAGCCGAGACAGCGAAAGTTCCGATAATGAAGATGACAAGGACGAAGAGGATGTCGACGACGACGAAAATCGGCACTCGGACCCGTACTCATCTCATTTAATGCCCCCGGACCCTAATGACACAAACAACACCGGTTCTGGCCCACTTGAGAGGGCTGGTCTGGAACCTCACCAAAGAACGGGCGATGTGGTTCTATCAGTCAAAGACCTCGAGGAGCAGCGGCAGCGTGATGAACGAAATGCCGACGTGCAGACCTGGCTCGCCACCAGCGACGCTGGTGACGAGCCGGAGGATGCTTTTGCTCGCAACCCCCGCACACGGCAAGAAGGAAGCCGGCGCCGGGCACATACGACGGGCGCTCAGGTCGATGCGCTCGGTCGGGTCTACTCCGATCGGCATATACCTGGTCCTGGGGTGCTTATCGATGTAGAAACAGACGACGAATATTTCGACGACATCTCCGTCACTTCTTCCCAGATCCAATGTCATACCGATCAGATCCTTGGCGATTACGATGAATCAGGCTCGCCAAAAATGTCGCCGCAGGCTATTGACGGCCGCGAGACGCCTGATCAGACAGCCTTCCCGACTCTCGAAGAAGAAACTCTACCAGAGCTGCAGGAGCCCCTTCCCCGTCAATTCATGAGACGAGGTCCGTGGCAAGATCCTGTTCAAGGTCTACCGACTGATACGCGAGATCAACCGGACACATCGAATGCGGCGGCATACAAATTCAACCAGGAAGCAGCCAAGTGGGAAACGGCCTCTAGGGCCGCCACTTGGGGAACAAGACGTCGACTCAGCGAGAGTGAAATCAACTCCATTTTGGAAGGCTGCCAAGTGCGACACCTGTCTCTTTCGAAGCGAGGCCGCGAGCGGGGTAATAGCTTTTTGAACAGGGCTCGAGGTCTATTGCCCCGTCGCGGTAGCAGTAACATCAAGCAGGAAGAGCCGACAGAAGATGACAAAGAGCCTACTCTGATGGGACATGCGCATACAGGTTCGGTTGGGACCATCAAACCTGCCCAGAGGATGCCGAGCTTCAGTAAGCCCAAGTCGCCCCAATTGAATACGGGAAGCGCCTGGATGGCAATGACTGGCCAGCTCACGGCTGTCGGGCGAGGTAATGCAATGGCGCCAGAAGCTGAGACGCATAAATCTTCTCGGCCTCTCCAGTCTCTTAAGAAGCAACGCAGCAAGAGCGACGTGTCAAAGCATGCGAAATCTTCCGGGCCTGGGCTCGCCGAACTGATGACTAGGCATGGTGGTCCCCCTGTCCCCACGCTGGCGTCTCCCATGCACGAGCGAGAACCTATTCTTGCTGCGCAGGTTATCGACAAGGAAGAAGCTCCAGCGGATGATGACGACGATGACCAGACTGACGAAGTTGCCATTCGAATGGACCTGGAAATTCGTGCAGAGGATATAATCCCCACCGTGGAGGGATTCAAAGACCATGCGCGTCGACTCAATCCTAGGCTTGAGCCATATCTCATTGACCGCATTGGTCAGGAGCAGATTCGGAGGTACAAAAAATTGGTTGAAGCCAAAATCAAGCACATGCGCTCCGTGCAGATGAATAAGAAGTGCTCTTCGGGAAAATTCTGTTTCGGCCTTGGTGGTGAGGCCACGCTGCTCGCGCCTCGCGTCAGCTCGAAAGACCCAGAGGCCACCCTGACTCAGTTCCAAGTCATCAATACGACAGATAATGAAATTGACGAATCTGGTTTCACGGAAGGAGTTGTCACCCCGGCTCTATTTCCTCCGGGTATCCCTTTGCCACCAGCGAAACGACTTCCAGCAGAATTTGAATGCCACCTCTGCTTCAAAGTGAAGAAGTTTCAGAAGCCGTCCGACTGGACGAAGCATGTACACGAGGACGTGCAGCCTTTTTCGTGCACGTTTCCCAACTGCAGCGAATCCAAGTCGTTCAAACGCAAAGCGGACTGGGTACGTCATGAAAATGAGCGCCACCGTCACTTGGAGTGGTGGAAGTGCAGTATCCAAGAATGCTCTCACATATGCTATCGCAAAGACAATTTCGTGCAACACCTAGTCAGGGAGCACAAAATGACCGAGCCTAAGATCAAAAGCCGAGGATCTGGCAGCAGTAAAACAAAGCCGGTCAACAATGGTGGCTGGCAAGGGCAAGAGGATAGTGAGGTGTGGCGAATGGTCGAGACCTGTCGATTCGAGACGCAAAACAAGCCCCGCGACGAACCCTGCCGGTTCTGTGGGAACGTGTGTTCAAGTTTCAAAAAGCTTTCGGTGCACATGGGGAAGCACATGGAACAGATTGCGATGCCGGTGCTGGAGCTGGTGAACATGCGTCAAGTCACGCCCGAAACCATCATCAGCCCCATTGATCAGCCGCAGACGATGTCCTCGACGATGCCCGGAACGACACCGTTTTCACTCTATCCCGGGAGTGCGGCGCCTGCGTACCAGACGCCCTCTGCAGGGCAGGCGCCGCTGTACCAACCATCCTCTTCCGGACAATCGCCTGTTTCGATTCATGGACGATCTCCAAACGGAGGACTCCAATATGAGCAAGGCTACTATAGCCCGCACTCCATGACGCCCGTGGTACAGGGACAGATGGTGGCCGGGACGTACCCCAATGTCGGGTCCCTAACACCGCAATCTCGCGTGTATATGGGACGATCAGAATACATGGGGTCACAAGATATGGGACAGCAAAACGGACACAATCTATCACCCCAGAATCAGATGGTGACGCCTCGATCGCAACCGGTGGGGGCCGCATTCGGGAATCACTTCTACGACTCGACGGGAGCGGATTATACTCAAGCCCCACTACATACTATGTACGCGAATGCCCCTCCCACGCAAGGATACGTGCCTCAGTACGCCTCATCAATGCTACAAGATCCCTCTGCACAATCACCAATGGGGGTAGACGGTGGATCAGGGCTAGGATTGCAGACGATAAATCAACAATACGGATACGGGGCCCCAGGAAATCAGGATCGAGGTGCGAACATGCCGTTCTCTTGACGACGGAGATATGGTATATATATGATTGAGATTCGTCCGCTGCGTAAGTGAGGCGCGACTTCGGGTGTGTCCGGGGTGGGAAGACGTCGTATGGCCCTTGGTTGGCTTGGGAGCTAAGAAGGGAGTAAGGAGGGGGATGGGATGTTCCTCTTCTGGACTTGACGTTAGTTATGATTGAGATCTGCTTAGATACCCAGACTATGTACACTTATTATCTACGGTTCTGAATGAATGATGGATCGGCCGATGAGCCATTACTTAGTTTTTCAACTTTTGGATTTGCAACTTGAGATGGAACTTTTGAAATCTTCGGTCAGATACGTGGCCAACCGTCATCGTATTGACCGATCCGGTTAGACGTTTCGGTGAAGGAAACAATAGAGCGCTCTCTGTTGGAAGAGATTCGTTATGGCGTCTACCTTGTTACTCCTTTGCTCAGTCGAAGGGTGGTAATTGAAAAGTACGCCAGGCCAGGCAACCATTTTGAAATCCGCTAGACCCGATTGAGGCTACGGTGAGGCAGCCACACATGGGCCACTGGCCAGGTTTAACTACCCAAATCCCCCGTGCGGCTCTGGGCAAGTACATTGTCAGTGCCAGCGGGACGAATCCAGTACAGCGGCACAAGCGACCCGCGAACGAGGTACCTTTTGGTATCTGGTCTTCGGTAGTAGCTTTGTCGCTGGGTCACGAGTCACTCGCCGGCGATCATTCCCCCCCCCCCCCCCCCCCCCCCCCCCCCCCCCCCCCCAAAACTGCGGTTGCCGTCATTCGGCCTGCTTCACC